TTTTGATATATTTTTCAACTTTAACAGTAGATATGTATGTCTCGAAGGTTGTACATATGTATGTACTCCAGGGTCAGTTACCGATCTGAATTTGAGCAGCACGTACTCGTTAAGTGCTTGTTTTATTTTGACATACATATTTTCAACATAGAGTTGGTCGCAGTTCTCTATGTCGAGTTCTAAGCTGAAGCACCTACAACAAATATCTACCTTGTTGGTTTTATGCCGGATTGTTTAAGTAGTACTGTGAATCTATGATCTACTTCGGTATAATTGGTACTGTAATAATAGAATTAATCCCGAAATTGTAGACTTGTCATGATGTGAAAGGCATACCATTTTTTGCACTGATTCCTCCTACCGCGACAATCAGTGATATGACGTCCAGCATTTCTGAAGAACACATTTGAGCTGGGAAGAGAATAATGTGTTTAATACAAATGTTCGGCTACAGGGCTAGAAAGTGCCTACAACCTTGTAGATTTAACAGGGCTAGTAACCGATACCCACGAGTATCAATGGCAACGGCATCAACACACATAATGTCTGAAAATAGTCGCCTCTTCTATATACAAGACCGAACCACTGGCGCACAATTCTTAGTTGACACTGGAGCGGAAATTAGCGTAGTACCTCCATTTAACGAGGAAAGAAAAAACGTTAATCCGTCATTAGTGCTAAGAGCAGCAAACAAATCAGATATTAAGACATATGGTAAACGGAAATTGTCCCTAGATTTTGGACGTGGCGCTTCATACCGTTGGAACTTTGTCATAGCAGACGTATCGATGCCCATAATAGGTATAGATTTCCTATGTAACTTTGACCTGCTAGTAGACTCTCGACGACACAGACTTATAGACGGCAGTCAAACCACTTCGATAAACGGAATACTTACGGAAGCCGTTTCAATGAACCTTGTGATAGATAAAAGTCGTGGTGATCCATATAAATTGTTGTTAAGGGAGTTCCCTGAACTCGTAAAAGTAACATACAATAAAGCTGATCTCAAAAATTCTATTCAGCATCACATCGTAACGAATGGTCCACCAATCAATGCAAGACCAAGAAGGTTAGACCCCAATAGATTAGCTATCGCAAAACAAGAATTCGACAAGCTGATGAGGCTAGGCATCGTGAGGCCATCGAACAGCCCGTGAGCATCTCCGCTACATATGGCCCCGAAAAAGAATGGAGAGGTTAGGCCATGTGGAGATTACAGAGCACTGAACAAACAAACCGTAGCTGACAGATACCCTATACCGCACATTCATGATTTTACCTACAGTATAGAGGGCACTACTATCTTCTCGAAGATCGACTTAGTCAGAGCATACTACCACATTCCTGTTGCCCCACAAGACATACTGAAGACAGCAGTAACAACCCCATTTGGGCTATATGAATTCCTGCGTATGCCTTTTGGACTGACTAACGCAGCACAAACCTTTCAACGGTTTATCGACCAGGTCATTAGAGGTTTACCTGGAGTATACGCGTATATCGACGATTTACTAGTAGCTAGCACCACTAAAGATGAGCATATACAACAACTACGGCAATTATTTATGCGACTCAGAGAACATGGCATTTCTATAAATATTGAGAAGTGTGAATTCGGAAAAGAATCTTTACAGTTCCTAGGTCACAATATAACTTCTCAAGGCATCACACCAATAGCAACAGAAGTCGACGCCATCAAAAATTATCCCCTACCCGATTCATGGAAAAAGTTACGCCGATTTCTCGGGTTAATAAATTATTACAGACGATTTATCCCGAATTGCGCGTCAATATTGCAACCACTAACAGATGCATTACGCGGAAACGCACGAACATTCCAATTATCACCAGACGCGATTCAAGCATTCGTGAACGCTAAAAAAGCACTAAATAAAGAAGTGACACTAACTAGACGCAAGAGCGAAACACCGTTGGCTATCATGACGGATGCATCAGACGTAGCGGTAGGAGCCGTTTTACAACAATTAGTAAATGGCATATGGGAACCGCTCTCATTTTTTTCGAAAAGACTGAATCCGACACAAACAAGATATAGTACTTTCGGAAGAGAACTCCTAGCGATTTACTTGGCAATAAAACATTTCCGACATATGATTGAGGGTACCATTTTCACAGTATATACAGACCATAAACCCCTCACAAAAGCATTGAACGCCAAACAGGACAACTACTCGCCGAGGGAAATCCGACAATTAGAATTTATTTCCCAATTCACGTCCAACATACAGTATATCAAAGGTAATAGTAACGAAGTGGCAGACGCGTTATCCAGAACGATGGTCAACGCTCTCATCCACTCTGAAATCGATTATCACAAGTTAGCAGCACTACAAAATATCGACGTTGAGTTAAACAGACTAAAGTCTGCCAATACAACCTCGTTAATTCTCAAAGAAACTCCATTGGAAGAAGTAAGCATCACCTGCGATATTTCTACAGGTCAACCAAGACCATTTATTCCAAAGCCGCTAAGGCGAAACATTTTCGAAGCCATGCATAATATTTCACATCCCGGAATAAAGGTCACCATCAAACTAATCAGCGAACGTTTTGTATGGCCAAGTATGAATCGGGATATTCGTAATTGGACGCAAGCGTGTATAAAATGCCAGAGAGTTAAGATACATCGCCACACCAGTTCCGCAGTAGGTCATTTCCGTCATCCCGATAACAGATTCGAGCACGTACATATCGATATTATAGGACCACTGCCGGTTTCGAATGGCTTTAGTTACATTTTCACTTGCATTGATAGATTCACACGATGGCCTGTAGCTGTGCCCATAAAAGATATTACAGCCGAAACTATCGCAAAAACCCTAGTAGAGCATTGGATTTCCCATTATGGTGTACCTACTAATATTACAACCGATAGAGGAGCTCAATTCGAGAGCCGCCTCTTCCAACAACTCACAGAACTACTCGGAATCAAACGAATTCGCACAACATCCGATGTCGAATGGTATGGTAGAGAGATTGCATCGGCAACTTAAAGCTTCTCTTACAGCTGTCATCAGCAATAACGATTGGGCCAGCAAGCTACCGTTAGTCATGTTGAGCTTAAGATCAACAATCAAACAAGATATAGAATGCTGCCCAGCAGAATTGGTTTATGGAACCACACTACGTCTGCCAGGAGAGTTTTTCACTGCAGGTAAAAGCGTCCCAACTGATATAGCGGACTATGTACAGCGTCTTAAGCAGCATATGAGTAGTCTAAGGATAACGCTTCCAAGACAACATCAACGCCGTGTCTACATACCCAAACAACTAAGTGACAGTACCCATGTGTTTATAAGAAGGGATAATGTGCAACGTCCCTTACAACCGGCGTACGATGGTCCATTTAAGGTGATTAAAAGAGACTACAAAACTATTACGGTAGACAAAGCTGGAAAAACGGATGTAATTAGCATCGACCGAGTCAAACCAGCTTTCATCGAAGCCTACGATCAGCCAGTACATACAGATACTGCGAAAACCGTTGAATCATCGAAGCGTCAGTTCCAGTCATCAACGACATCGACGAACACAAACAAAGAGAATCCAGTAACCACCAAGTCTGGTCGAAGAGTAAGATGGCCCCAACGTTATGTCGCTGCAATCTTCTATTAATAATCTTCTATTATTCTAAATATTAATTATAACTTCCACTTCATTGTGTACACATGCATTACTAATTTCATGTTATACGCTATAAAACTCTTATGTACCCCTATACTTACACGTATAATTTTTATTTAAAATGTAAAGCAATACCGCATTCCTTCTATTTATTGCTATTATTTTTTATAACCTCACGGACGGGCACAAAACAAATGTACAGCACACACTAACTTCATCTTAACTTTGTACAAACCATTTTTTCAAACGATTGTAACTACCCTGCTCAGTTTACTATTTTTTGTGCAAACACAGACATTTTTCCATATATCTTTGTTTGCAGGGGGGAGCTATTATAGCGACTCACGTGCTAATGGGTTTATTTTCATTTAACCCAGTTAAGCCCTTTTTGTTAACTTATTTAGTGGACAAAGTCATCCATGATATAACAACTTGTTGTACTATCTTTATTATTAATGCTTGTATGAAATACATACGCTTGAACATTGTTTAGCGCCTACGCATGTATTCATTCTGCTAGCTTCATTATTAACTGCTTAATCTATTCGCTGACTCATCCATTTTCCTATACATATATATATGTGTACATTTGCACCCATTTACTACTACAACTACTACTACTACTACAGCTACTTGCTACTGCTACAATCGTAGTTCGCTTGCTCATTCATTTTGCCTCTCTGCTGTCTGGTCCGAATTATCTACTAAATAAACTGTAGTAGCTGCTTCTCTTTGCCTTCTGATTTCAAACATCGTTGAAGATTATACGATAACGGTTCGAGGGTGATTAATTATCGAAGCACAGCCACTACACCCTCAAGACTACAGGTGCACCTTGGTGACGAGTTTAAAATAGTATGAAACCTAGGTCCAGGGATTTATACTGATTAGCTTCAACCACTTAGCATCAAAGATAAGGCGCTAAACTAAAATGTGTTAGACCTTGCTTAGCCTCAACCATTTCAAAACAGTGGACGAATTCACTTTTGCGCAATAAACAGAGATTTTCACCCATATAAAACTTGGTTATGAATGCTTTATGTTTATGTTTTTTTAAACTTAATCTTTAAATAACATGAGTGTATCATAGAAACTGTCAAATATTGCAATGACCGATGAATCTCAATCTTATGAACATTCCCAGAGTTATTTTTGAAGGTTGACTCATTCAACACTTTAGTCTACCTAATAAATAATTAATAAATTTCGGCTTTTATTTTAATTGCTGAACATGAAAAACTTTTTTCTAACGTCTAGCCTAAAGCAAACACAATATACCAAAACCTTCCTGATATATATATATATATATATATATATATATATTGTATTAGGATTTTTAAGGTTCACCATTTATCGTACAGATTTTATTTACCAACTTCAAATTAATGTAACAAGAAATATATTTGATTCAGCTATCAGATTATAGAGGAGTTAGTTTATATGCTTACGTATTCAAAATACTGAATAAATATTTCATAAGGCATAACAGATGACAAATTAGGTTGCTTACATAGCGTAAAATCAAAATATAAAAGTGAAACAAAATTCGTTCGTCAAGTAATTGTTTCATCTCGAAAACTAAATCAATTTAAACTATAGAATAAAGGACATAAGCTTGGGGAAGCAATATTGTAACATTTAACGGTAAAATCAAAGTGACTATACCTCAAAAAGTCGAAGTAAAATGGGTATAGTATTTACTGAAACCAAATGAAGTTATAATAAATAACCTGTAATAATTAAAAATGATCAATGTTCTTTAACTAGTGAAAAAAGTTCAAGGTATAAATATTTAAACGTATAGTAGATATGTTTTTGTATACGAATGTGCAACAAGGAATTATTAGAAATAAAAAGTAATGAATGCAAACAATTGAATGGAAGGATTTATTTACAAAAATCCCTTATCATTGTTTGAACTTCCAACGTTGAATAGTTTTAATTCTTGACGTAAGTCGATCGATCTATTCAAGCAAACAGTCTCTGCAGTGATAACTCAACAAAGTAAAATTTATCAGAGAAGTTTAGAAGCAACAAGAATTTTAATTACTCATATTACTGACAGTTCCATAAGTTGGAATAGGTCTAGGACGAAGTGAAGGTTTAGCGGATGTTGATTTTAGTTGATTTGTTTGATATTTATTATCAAATAAACCAATGTTCTCATTTTGATCTCTATGATATTCTTCAGTTTCATTCAAAGGATTTTTTCTAAAATTAACACTTTTTTGGTTTAATACATTTGTAGTCGACTCTGTAACGTCTGTATCAGTTAAAGACTTGTCCTCATTATCAGTGGTACCAAAATTAATGTGATTCGATGAATCGATAAGTGAACTTGCATCTAATTGCATTAAAATTTTACGAAACCTAGATAACTCGATAGCATCGTTGGCTCTTAATTTCTTAATTTCATCAAGTTCATTCATAAGAGTTTGAAATCGTTCAGTTAAACACTTCTGTCCTTTTAACCAATCATTTCGAAGTTGTACATGCATTTCCTTTAAAAGAAATTCATAAAACCATATGAAGATTATTTTAAATAACCCAGAATAGGTCCAATGCAACAACTATAATGTAAATTACAATATTTAAATAAAAAATCAGAGAATTATGCAAAGGAAATCTATGTAAAGGTTGGAATTGATTTGATAGAACAACAAAGTCGTGGTGAAATAGCCAAGTAAAAAGGGATTGATGATCAGTTGGTGAAAAATATATTGATGAAGTTCTAGTTTGTATTGACTAAACCGACTGTGATATATGTTGCATTCAACCAGAAACTATTTACAATTATAGGAAGTATTATTTTATGAGTAAATGAGAGGATGATAAAAATCAAATCAAAAAGTTTAGGTTAAGAATCGGAATAAAGCTAAAGAGAAAGAACAGTAGTTGTAGGTCGTAGATGGTAATAATCACTGTACTCAAGATATCGTTTTTTTAAGTTTAATGAAAGAAATCGAAGTGGTTGAAGTATCATTCAAAATTAAATTAAGTATACTTTGGTACACTACATAGTAAAAACATAAAAATGTTCTCTATACAAGTAATTATCTAGTAGAAGTCAACTGCGTCAAAGTTGTAGCCATAAATTAGCGGAGATGTTCGAAGTTGAATTAATTCCGTGTCAAAGGAATGGATATGATATTAGTTGTTATTTGATTATCTATTAATTTAGATGATTTTGAAATGAAAAGAAAGATTTACGGCTCCGTTGGACAACTTTTTGTTGTACTACCTAAACTAAACAAATTAGTTGGGAAGTTTTCATCACCACCTTGCATAACCGCATCACAGACCACATCAAATGTAAAAATGGGACTAACATATATTCCACAACGGAAAAATGTGATTAACCACATTGTTATAAGTCAAACGAACAAGATATAAAACAGGGGAAGTGAGGAAAACAAAGCCGACTACAGTAATTAATCAAAAGTATCGTTATAGGAATGAACAGATTAAACGCTTGTGTACAAACACATAAGCTCTCTTTGACATGAAGTAGGAGCTAATGTTATTGTTTAGAAAAGCAATGGAAGCTTCGCAATTAAACTGTTAAACTCAGAGAACACAACAATAATTTATTTGCTTAAATTGATATAAAAGGTTTTTGTGTGAATATTTTTGTGCTGTGCAAAAATACACTCTGCTGTAGCGTTATATTGTGTCGAGCTTTTTATTATTTAGAAAACGTCAATTCATTGCACCAACTGATGTCGTAATAAACCATAAAATGATTTGACCTAACTGAGTCTTCGTTCACTACAACGTCACTGTTTGCTTATTAACATAGGCAATAGTGCTTCGTAAATCTCACTTATCGTCTAATGGTTCTTTTATAACAATTGGGTTAAGTGAAATGCATAGGTTTGTTAAGAAAATAATGTATAAAGCATATACCGAACGAATAATGTGTTTGAAATATCCTTTAAATTATTACAACAGTTTGATAGTAGTTACGGGCTGCCAGATTAAGCATGAATAGCTTGAATGAGTAGGAAAACATCATTTACTTCACGTCTATGTGCATGTATTAGAAATTGTGGATCAAGTTAGGGCTGAAAGATTGCTTAATCCAACTAACTTGTATTTAGGGAACGTTCCATGAAACGTTGTGCACAAAATTACATTTGATTATTACGTCTAGTGAATTAAAATATGCTTTAGTTGTTCTGATTATTATGTCTGTGGCTTTCATATACTTATGTTCTTCAATGATGTACGTTCTGATGAACATTTTACAGAAAAGAGGGATAAATCGTTCAGTAGTTACCAAAAATAAGTTTCGTGAAAATATATGTATTAAAAAGTTTACTGAAACGGCAAAACCCATGTCACTACATATTTCAGAGTCAGAACTTTGTATTTACAGTACGTTAATTTGATTATGGAAGAACACTATTACACCACCCAACCTGAATTAACCCCTTTTTCGACCTCTGATCTGTTTCTAGCATATATATATATATATATAGTTATTATTGTAATCAAGTTATTTACACTCATTTATATCAATTGTTTTCACACTATCTCCATGTAAAAATTCTATCACAATTTTGGTTTGTAAGCAGCTGACGAGAAACCTCGAAATAATATGAATTCATACCATTCTGCATCAATGTTTGTTCTTGTTCTATTTAAATTCATAAAGGGAACCAATTGCATGAAAGAACACTAATCAATTGTACAGCTTTTCATTTCTTTAATGTTACTATAACAAAATATTCAAGTGAACGTTTTTAATATTTTGTAAATTATAATTAGGAGTTTTAACACTCACTAAAATATTCCATCAATTTGCCGGTGTTTATTTCGTTCAATCCTAATCTATATTTGATAATAATTGAAGTATTCTATCTTTTATCATAAATATAATATCTATGCCTGAAGGATTTTGAATAAAATTCAAACAAAAACATAGTTCAATTTAATGATATGCTTAAATAATACTTATTTATCTTTAATATTGAAAACAGTGAAATTACCTTTAATGTATCATATTCACGACGAATATCATGTAATTGTTGTTTAATCTCACTTTGAAATTGGTCAAATTGATGTTGTATATCATTTTGTTGGTTTTTATTACGATGATTTAATACTGCTTGATTTGATGAGATGAGTAGATTTTCCGAGCTTCGATTTAATTCTGCCGAACCATTTGAGATTTCATTGCCTTGAAGATTAGCTGAGAAATGTGATATTAAATAAAAAAACAAAGTTATTAAAGGTTAAAACATAAATATTGTATCATCTTATTATTAAACATTAGATAAACTGAGATAAACATCTTTGTTATAATAACTGCGATATTTTAACTATCATTACAAAGATCGGCTGATGAATACTGAACCAGTTATAAACATTAGACCAGAAAAGTTTAATCATAAAACTCAAACACTAGCTAATGAAATTACTCTTAAAATTAATCTACATGATTTATTCTCTGTATTTTAAAATTCCATTTCTTTTTAGGGTAAAATATATCCGAGGTGTACTAGTTCAATGATTAACTTAGTTTACAAACATAGTTTCGTTTCGAAATTTACAAAGTTATGACAGCTATATTCTGCTTTTATAATGGAAATGAATCCAGTATTTGCTTGCTTCAAGGTACACGTGCGCTAGCCTCTTCCTATTTGACTTTCTAATTACCCTGGAATTCACTCAGAGTATTTGTATGAGAAACGCCTTATTTATTGGATTTAATAGAAGATATAAATATAAATCCCCCACAGTTCAGTCTCCATAATTTCAGGTAGGATTTAAAATATCACGAGTAGGATGAGATTGGATATTCGAACTAGTGAATTAGAATTTTGTGGCTTAAAGTTAGTATTCATCACAAGACATCAAGGTCGTGAGTTCATTTAGTAATGGGGTAGTTGTCGATTACTATTGAGGAGTCCAGAGCTAGGACAAAGCAGCTGACTAGTGTTCCTTGGGTTCATATGGTGCTTCAATTGGTGTCAACTCGTGAGAAAATTCAATACATGATAATTAAACATTTGCGTCCGTTATCAAAGAACCGTCTATAACAAATCAGATATATTCATTTATTATATTTTAGGCTTAATATTATCATTTTACAGCACAAATGTTTTACTTATTTACCTAAGAATGTTTTTAAATTTAATATCCTCATATCTTTAGTCATTTTTTTTCTCAGGAACTGAATAAAGTTGTATCTAAAATCAATGAAATTTTATCCAATTTTATACATAGAAGTGTCCATCTAAGCCAAAACATTTCTAAAGAAAATCTTAATACAATATGTACTGTCATAGTTACTTAACAATGTAAAGCTCACAGCAAAGGATTTTTAGTAGTCCATTTAAAACTGTAAGATTTGAAGTGATACAAACAGTTTACTCTAAGAGAACCTTAAACAAATAAGAGGTTCTCAGAAGAACACGAAGTTGATAAGTATCAATTCCGAATAAAATGAGAATTGGGTAGAAAGTTACAAAGCTGATAAGTTGATATAGGTAAACAATATGTTGGATATTGGATGTTTACTACCCAAGATGGATGACTTCATTCGCTGTGTGAAGACCATTTTGATCGGACGGGATAGAAGGGTGAGATATCGTATATTCTTAATTCAGTGTAATAACTGCCCAGAATAACACTCTTTTTGATGCATTAATTTGCTCAACATAAATTTGGTCTCACTTTCAGTGCAATTTTATCCAGAATGATCTTCTTTGTATTAAATTAACGTGAACTGTATTCAGTATGACATGCAGCATGGGATTTTGTTGTCGTTTCATTACTGTAACAGTTTTACAAATTAATATTCAAGTAGGTGTACAAATTATTATATATATGAGTGTATATTTTGGGTTATGGTCATCGTATTTGGAATCAATAAGTCTTCACTTGTACCAGTCTTTGTGTTCTAGCTTGACTCCATAGAACTTGTAGTGGTTCTTCGTTTTCAAGTACAAGAAACTGGCGACGCGGATATCACAAAATGAACTGAATGAATGAAGTGTAAATTTATATGCAAGATTAAGCAGATATGTGAACGGCTTATTTTCAGGAAATAAAATGTTAAATAGTACTTTTTGCAACTTGAAATCACACTAAAAGGGAGGAATCTACCTCTATCAAGGACAATGATTATGTGTATCTATTTTATAATTAACAATAAAAACTATGACACGGTATTCTGATATTCATCGTGAAAATACGTTCTTATTCACAACGGTAACATTGGGAAGGATAAATGAAATTATATATTTGGTAAATGAATGGTAGATATAAAAGCCTATACAAAATAATTAACTTTAGAAATTACTGCGAAAGCTCAGTATCAGTCAACCAGTCTATCTATCTAAGAATCTGTCGAGTACTAGCGGTAAGCGTGGGCTTTTTCAGGCAGAAAAATCACTAGTTTAAATCAAGTATAACAAAACACAATTTTGGATAAACAAGCCAGTAAATCTTTTAGTTGACGTGATGTGACAAGTGTGAATACAGATTTTATTACGAAATCATAAGAAGTGGAGTTAAAATGTTCTTCCTAAAGATAAAATAAAATAATATAAGTCTTTAGAGCAGTTGAACTAGATGAATACAGACGACCACGCAGTGATTTGTTTATCCATTTATTTTTTCTTTGAAGTTTTTAGAAATAACTTTTTCTCTGTGTAATTTAATTTTAAGGAGTAATGTTTTAACCATCTGGAAGGAGTATTGACTAGAGAAAAACATTTTTTTTCACTTATGATCAGAAAAATGTGAAATATGTCCATTCGCATTACTTACGCATGAATTATCAAGTGAGGTTCTACAAAAGTTAGTTTTAATTCTCTTAAGAAATGTTTCAGTCAATTGCGCAATGAAGTAGTTTTGGAAACATTGATCACTTGGATGGGAAATTATCCGTTTTGAGTCGTTGAAATTGTAATCAAAATAATCAGATTTACAGGCATTAAAACGATATTTGATGGATAACCATTGGACTTATGTATAACTGTTTATTACGATTGCCCAAGTTGTATTTCATTAGCCGAGGAAAAAACACTATCGTTCAATAGTAATTGCTGAGGTAGAAATCTTGAACTACTGATAAATAATCAAGTATAACAAGAACAAGTTCCAATTAAATGTAAAAGAAAGCTCATACTAACATCAAACGATCTTACAAGTCATCCGAAATTTCAGCTTTAGGTGTTGTGAATCAAATAAACTTTGTTAATTAAGGATATTTTTGTTGTTATGTTCAGTTGTATTTAAAAATTTCTTTGCATGATCACTATGATGAATAGACAGCCTTAAATGTTTTTTGTTTTCCGAAGTTGAATTACATCGATAAGATGTATAATATAAATAATATATTAAGGAAAAAGCCATTTTTAGTAATAGAAATTAATGACTAAGAAGAAAGCGTAACTCAGATTATGAAATAATTAATTTCAGACACTGCTGATGTCAGGTTGACGGGAATAACTGATAAAAAACTTTTAAAAAAGAGAGAACCAGAATTTAAGAAGATAGCATATTCTGATTCAAACGCAAACGATTACACTGGTATGAAACACCATTAAATATCAATGAGATTAATAACATGAGAAAAACATGTGATCTGGAGTGCGAATAAAACAGTGAAATAAATCAGTAATATTCATATCGAAAAATTACTATTAAAATGATATTGTTTATAATAGCAATATCCTATATAACGTTTATCCTCAAAGTAAATGTGTTTTTGTAATGAGGGACACTTCCATAAACCTGTATAACACTAATTAATGTTTGAGATCTATTGTTTGCTATTGAACTTTTCTACGAATGTTCATAATTTAAACGAATATAACTACTGTACACTTGAACAAATAGAATCTAGGTGATAACGAAGTTTACAGCGCCGTCGATGGGCGTGATTAATGACATCGTGAAAAATGAAGGCGTCCAATTGTTTTATCAAAACACACTTTTTGACAAGATGGGTAACGAGGTGTTTTAATATTTACGTAACCAAGTTACGTCTTAGAAAATACGGTTCTCCATTGTAATTGTTTCAGTTACCAAATTAGTTAGATACTCAGTTCTGTGAATTAAAAAAATTAGTCAGCTTCGTTGAGCAATTAATTAGTGAATATGCTTCACTTACGCGGATATCAGTGAATATCCAATTTTTCCGTAGAAGTCACACTATAAACTTATTGTAATAACAAATAGTCATTTAACCAATAGGTTACGCTACAGTCTGATACACGCAGCTAGGGAGAAGATATTCCATCACCATGCTTGTCGGAATTTGAATGAAGGCTCTTCTGAACACATGGTTGAATAGCAACGTCACATAGCATTGGAAAATAATCACAGAAGCTGAGATTTATGTAACATTTGTTAGTTATTTCTCCAGGAATCCATACTTAAAATGAGCTTGAATGTAAATATGATATTATTTTTAAAGTGAAATCAGAGTAAATTTAAGTGACTATGTTCAAAAATTAAATATTTTAGGCAGAATGCAACATTTAATATGATTTTCGAGTCAGTTTAAAATAAGTCATCATCAATCAGACGTTACGTTATGGGTGAAAGGTTTGATAAGAGGTATTTCTGTGAGAATGAATTAAAGTAAGAAACCAGTAGTTTCATGTTCTGGACAAACAAAGAAACTACATTTTAAAATTTTTTGAAAACGTGAATGAAACTGTGACCCAATGAATTTAATTTATCACTATAATAGTTGCATACATTCAACTTCCATCAAAAAGGTTTGGAATTTTCAGCTCAACTGTTGTTGAGCTGAAGGTGATGGTTTAGTGGTTGAAGTATTCAACATCCAACTGTCTCAAATATGCATCCTACATTATCCAGTAAGTATCACCAAGTCAAATACACAAACATATTAATGAAATTTCACAAGTTGAAGTCATGAGCCAATTGAAGCTAGACCACCATGGAAAACCTGGAAGCACTGGACGGCCGTTCCGTCCTAGTATGGGACTCCTCAGCAGTGCGCATCCACGAACCCGCCCCCCGCGGGATTCGAACCCAGGACCTACTGGCTTCGCGCGCGAGCACTTAACCATTAGACCACTGAGCCGGCATCCAACGGTGTTAATGTCTAACTTTAACCAATCCACGAAGATTAAATACTTCTGTATTTGGTATATAAGCTAAATTCTCTCTTTCAGGAATATAGTTCTCAATAACTATTCAAAATGTGTTGATCTCCTTTAAAAAATTAAGAATAATCAATAAATAATTTAGTTGATTATCAAATAGACTTTTATTTACCGGCACGTGATGGATTTGTAGCATGACTAGATGTTCGTCCTTGCTGCTTATATGTCGATTCACTAGATTTGTCAATTTGATCAGCACTCATTGAACCAACATTGCTTTCATGATTCGCTGATATACATGCTACATTAGTCCTAGTCATTGATGCATCATACACATGCGCATCATTTGGTATTGACGCTGCAATACTAGATCGAATTGGAGTATTCAATGTGTGAGTAAAATCCTAGGATTGGAAAAATAACGGTTAGTTTTTCTATGAAAGTTAAGAGTGACTAAAACATTAATTATTATCTTCTTGGTGCAGTTAAGCTTGAAATATTCTATTTTCTAAGTGATTTTTGAGTCTGTCGAACAAAATATCTTGTACGCTATAAATGTATAACACTTTTTAGCACAATTCATTTTTGGATAAATCTATATGTTTGTAGACATGTTATGATTTACTAAGTTGCCGCACAGTTTGGTGACACGTAAGCGTTATCTTTAGGCTCATATATACTACTATAATGTTAAATAAATGAAAAATGCATCATCAATACAGTAAACTATTGAGTAGATCTTATTTTTATATTAGACTTAGATTAAATTCATACTGGAGATGTTCTAAGATAAGTGGTATTCACACACGTCTAAGTAACAATCCTGAACCTAGGCTTCGTATCGGTTAAAACTTGTCAACGCGGGATATTTCATTGCCACACAATTTCATAGTGAAGAATTACTACCACTGATTGGTTCGAGTCTCAGCTGATTGATCTCGTTGTTGTTGTAAGTGAAAATTAGTAATATAGAGAACACACGTTTCTAGGACATAGCAGAGATGAGCTACATGTAGAGTCGCGGTCAAGCTAAATGACTATTGTTGACTATCATCAACCGCTTAACATCAAACAAAGTTAATTACGATAAATAATTATTAAGTTTAGTGTCTAAATTCCAACCTTATTGATGGAAATCAACTAACACTAATATTTAGACAAAAATGAGTTCAACTACTGGTTGCTAAGTGATCAACTAGTCGTTTACGTTAGTAGTTATTTATTACTCATGACAATCAGAATGATAATTCTAATTAGTGATTAGCTTGGGTAATGCATAATAAATATGATAAACAAACATATTTACTGCCCATAATTATCAGTGAAACAATCAATCGAAATACTGACTGATTGGTAACTAATTTATATTTCCAAAATCTTTTGCTCACATTCTATTTCAGTATGAAATTTAGGGATGTTACTCTTTAACAGTTGCTACATATGAATATTATTAAATACTGTGAAATTCAAGCGAAGATACTGTGTCATTTTGGAATAAAAACTAAAGGCTTAAAATGCCATCAGATAATTGTTCTAAAAAAATACTCGACTCAAAACGTTACTGTCAAACAGGAGGAAATGAATTACTACCAACTAATTCTATGCGCTGGTCTAGATAAATGCCGAAATTTTCTTGACGTATCTACAATCATATCGTGGCGAATACTTTTTGTTATGATGATACGTTTATTGCAGCCACAATTCTCCTTCTAGACAAGCAACAATGAAGGATTCGAGACTCCTTAATATAAAGTTTGGTTAGTCATCATTAGCTGGCGGTGTTTTTCTGTTTTCAGTAGTTGATTATCATATTTCCAACAGTGAATGAATTATTTTATTAGGCAGATATATCAGTTCTATGAAAATGAACAGTCACCTAATTTTATATAGAGTTTGGGATATCCAGCACAGAACAGAAATAAATCTACTATGGTGTAATGATACACCTTAGTGTCACGTTCTAGATCCAGATATTTTTGATAGACATAAGCAACTAATTATTAGTAAAGCATAAAACTGATAGTAGAATAATTTTTATTTAAGCTTCATTTAACAAATTTAATTTCCTGTTTAAATATAAAACAAATAACTTTATTTATAAGAGTTGTCAAATTTTTTCAGGTAACTATGACAACGGTGTAGATAAACTATACTTATTTCCTCAGAATTTGTATAAACGAAAAGCATTTTTATTTCTAAATAACTATTAAATTTGTTCTAAATTATATCTGTAAAATAATTTAAAAGTATTCAACAGATGAATTCTGTGGATTGTAATCAATTGTGTTTGAACCAACCAACTATTGGAAACACTGAACAAATCTTTGCAGTGAATAACTATTCATTGTTATGCAACCGATTAAAAACTAAATGAAATTTTAAACAGCCGTTTTGTTTTATTTTACTATGAAAGGCTGATATCTATAAATTTGCGGCTTATTAGAAAAGTAAAGAATTTTTCATTAATTACAGACCTCAGCTAGAAGTATATCGACTCTGTTTATTCAAACAAAGTTTAAGAGAATTCCTAATGTTCAAAGTAAATTAATTATAACTTGTATCAGATTAAACAGTTTATAACTGATAGTTCTTTACGCTATGTTTATGAAGTTTTAAGTTCATCAATACCATGGAAATAATCAACTGTAAATCTATCTCAGTCAGGCTAGATGAAAGTTATGGCCCTGTTATTTTAATAGTACTCTCTCAGACTTAGTGACAAGGAAAAAGATCCCCCATGAAACATCAGTTCACAGAAAATTACAGTTACACTTTAGTAACGAGTTCCAAATAGCACAAAACCTAGGTTTATAGTTTCCTGTCAACTACTGTCAACCACCTTACATCACATTTGTTTACTAATCTTAGACGGCTTGAGAAAGCAGATTGGAATCCTTGAACCAAGGTTTCAAGCTGCTTAACGCTTATCACTAAGGTTCATCTAAATCTTTTTGGAATTTACGCTACTTGTACGAGTTGGTCGCTTGTGATTTCATGAAATTCATAAATAATATTCACCATTTCTGTTACCATTAAGACAACTACTTTATGTGTATTTCTTTGTCCATGTGAGTGTATTATAGAGCGTTTCACTTCTAATTAAGGGGAAAAAGCATCATTTCTGAGCAATACACTTGATATAAAAATCTATTTAGATGATTTATATAAATGTTATTTACATTGTGATATAACAAAAAATACATTTATTATCGAATTATATTTTATATAAGTAAACAAATATACATATGTAAATAGTGATTGTGCAAAGATCTTGCATAATTATCTTAGTGATTTAGAGTTATTACAAAGTAACAGATATTCAATATTCAATAGTTTCTGGGTAACGTCAATTTGTCATGTAAAACTTTTTAAAATAAATATATCTTTATGAGAATACCAGATTCGATTTTACCAACTTTACATAAACGTTGACACGAAAATATTTATAGTTTGTAGGAATATTTCATCAGTTTATTCCCACCTTTGTGCTATAAATATTCTTCAGTTTTTGCGTCAGATCGAAAGAATGGAAGTTTGAAAGTATGACTTAGAATCAGTTGTTATAACGGAACGAATATCGGAATTTTTAGAACTATTCTTGGTACTATTATTATATTTATATTTTATTGTACGCTTAATAGATAACTTCATCATCTCATTTCTAGATTTTCCTTATTGTGAGATTACAGTGAAACTGTCGATTGTTGTAATATATTTATTTTATACCTTAGTTATTGCTGATTAATTATGTACTCCTTGCTCAGGCCTCTACCACTTATGGAATGATTGTATTTAAAGTATGATTTCTCGATTGATGTGTTGTGTGGTCAATTATTTCAAGCAAATTATTGTGCGAGTTTTATGTGATTAATTAAATTGAGTACAACAGAGAACTAGTCTGCTTCCTGATTAGCTACTGGTTTAGAAGAAGATCAAGGACCAATAAGCGCTAAGGTCTCTGTTGTTGTTCTTATGTTAGTGCGTCAATTGGTGAATAGAAATTCCCCGGCTATAAACTAACTGACAATCTGAATCCTGATTGACCAGTATAACACAAAATATCGATTAAAACCTTGAGCTATAAAAAATCAGCGTCCACAAGACATAACAATGTCAATGATTTATGCTGACAAAGGATTAGTAAGTTTGGTCAAGAAGTCTAATAATATTACAAAAGCTTGTTATATACGCAATCGAATAATCTATGCCAAATATCCGATCCATTCAATATGAAACTAACACTTTTTGAATAATATCTCCATCTATACATATAAGACATAAAATCTTAAATTGTAAACACCGTCTAGAATGATTTGCAAGTTTGTATCTGTTAGTACATTGAATTTCTATCTCTATGAAACCTAACAATTCGTTTTGTTTAACTGATGATGAAGCTTGATAAGTAAATTTTATCTTAACGTTTTTGAGGAAATTTAACATAAACTCTGAAGAACTGTCGTATTACAAAATTTATTAGCAAAGGAAATTAATGAAAACTTTCACACAATTTGTAATGTTTCACGATTTTTATCTAATAGTTGTCACTACGTTTTGCTGTTCCAGAGATGAAAGCTTCCTGCTGGAACTTAAGAAACTTATTATTCCAAGCTATTTGCTAGTAAATGTGTCATTATCATCGTCCCAAACTTTATCTTTGAAAAACAGTAATTAGGCTCAGTAATTTGATCAACATAAATCAAGTACAAGTTAGTATAAGAAATGTAAGTTATCTATAAACTCTTTATTGGCTGAGGTTTCTAGGATATGTTTTAAGTCATTATATGTGAAAATTATATTTGAAATATTCTCAGCGATTGAAATTTAACTAATTCCAACGTTTCGTCCAGCTAACTTGTCTGGACTTCTTTAGGGTAATAATCAAAATCAAAATCAAAATTATCAAAGAAATATATAGCTTTTAACAATCAGGATTATACTGTGTTAAACCAATCATATTTGGGTGTTGATTTTTGTAAAATAGGATAAAATGAGTCAGTTGACTACAAATCATGTGATGAATTCAACTACATGGAAATACTTAACTGAGTAACAAATCGTATGTGTGTGAGTGTGTATGTATGTATGCATGTGTGAGAGATTGATATGAAGGAATAAATAAAGTTCAAGTTCAAGGATGAAAATTTTGATAATGAAAGATCGATGTGCATGTCAAAACATAAATTGTATTGTTTAGAAACTCATTCAGTTCTTTCAATAATAATAACGATGCATGTGATATTAAAAACAGGTTTAAACAAGAGATAGGTTCCAAATTTACTTGTCAAACGAAATTTGCCAGGTAGTTGCCATTTGAATACCATCTTTTCGGTTCAGGCTGTTCTTGTTCGCCCATATATGCAGAGCTTCTGCTGTCAATCTTTCTTTATGGGTGTTAAAACCTTTCTGAAGTATTTTGGTCCCTTCAAAATTAATCTTGTGTCCTGTTTCTAACGCATGTAACGCTATCGCTGACTTATTTCCAAGTTTCTTTAAATCTACCGAGGATTTTGGAACATTTTTCAAGCATTGTTTGTGTTCCTTCAATCTTACATTTAATTGCCTGGATGTTTCTCCAACATAGGTAGCATTACAGTCATGACAGTGAATCTCATACACAATGTTTTTCAAAAAGATTATTAAAAATGAAAGAAAAACTAAACTAGAAAGTATACGAAAAGAATGGAAGTACACCGTAGTCATACCTTACCGGAGTGAAACATCAGAAGAAATCAAACGGATTCTAAACAAACATGATATAAGAGTGTATTTTAGAGCAAATAACACATTAAGATCGACATTAGTGAAAGTTAAGGACAAGTTAGCAAAGGAAGAACAACAGAATATTGTGTATGAGATTCACTGTCATGACTGTAATGCTACCTATGTTGGAGAAACATCCAGGCAATTAAATGTAAGATTGAAGGAACACAAACAATGCTTGAAAAATGTTCCAAAATCCTCGGTAGATTTAAAGAAACTTGGAAATAAGTCAGCGATAGCGTTACATGCGTTAGAAACAGGACACAAGATTAATTTTGAAGGGACCAAAATACTTCAGAAAGGTTTTAACACCCATAAAGAAAGATTGACAGCAGAAGCTCTGCATATATGGGCGAACAAGAACAGCCTGAACCGAAAAGATGGTATTCAAATGGCAACTACCTGGCAAATTTCGTTTGACAAGTAAATTTGGAACCTATCTCTTGTTTAAACCTGTTTTTAATATCACATGCATCGTTATTATTATTGAAAGAACTGAATGAGTTTCTAAACAATACAATTTATGTTTTGACATGCACATCGAAACGTTGGAATTAGTTAAATTTCAATCGCTGAGAATATTTCAAATATAATTTTCACATATAATGAGTTCTCTATACTCGGCGCTCAATTACTGTCAAACTATTCGTTCTAATCTTGACGAATATTCGTATAATATGTTTTAAGTATACCTAACCACCGCTTACCTTGAAAGGCTGTTTGCTGATGTAGAAATAGTTGAGAGGAAAGCTAGGAGCCACCAAACCAAAACATGCCATTAGTCAGTGAAATAATAGACTGTTGGTGAATTCAGGCTACCTGATTGCGATTTGTGCTATAACTACTATCAATGACGGAAGAACATGAGTCCCAATTTTCCTTCTTGCATACTTTTTATTTCCTTATTTTGTAACTATACTCTCAATATTTAGTCTTTCCCATTGTCATTACCACTAAATTACCTCGATTCTTTTTCTATTTACCTTATTTATTTCACATCGTGAGGATGTAGTATGGCAACTTGGTCTGACCCACATTAATGCCAGGTTATACAATGATCGAAACTGAACGACTGACTAACTAACTGACTCCAAACCTGCTTATAATGATTGTGAAAACTTTCGTATCATAACAGCTAATACAGTCCATACATGACATACAAACTGTTTCATTAAGACCAACTTTATTTTGTAACACAAAACAAAACAAATTTATCATTGCTTTTATTACTTACAGGAACCGCATTCGTAGCGTTAGACAACTTTGTAGGCAGTCTTCGACCAGTTTGTCGTGGTCTATCACTTGTATACCCAACTAACCTTTGTACATTTGTATTATCCAAAGACTTTGTATCACCATCATCTTTGTTGAGTCAAGAAGTATATGAATTAATTTTAATTTTTATACTATTAACATAAAAATTCAATGAAATTCCTGATATGCACATTAGGAAAGTGTTTACAGACACATCAAAAAAGTTTATCTACATTTACATGTAAGGGCATCCGTGATTTATTTGACTTTGGGACTGAACAGTAATAATTCAGTTCGTAAGGATAACTCACTAATGGAATCTATTTTAAGTTTTACTTTGTTCAAGAATATTTTGAATAGATTAAGATTAAATTAATGCTACTTTGTTACCAAATACATGATTTTGTGAAGGGCGTTTAAACCCAACTAGAAGATGGAGGCTACAAATATTGTTCATATTTCTTAAAATAAATGTGAAACTAGTTTCAAACTAGCGAAAATGTGATAAAGCACACTCTTTTTTCATCATAGTAGGATGCTGTAGTGTCGGTTGCTATGCCAACCCCACATAGCTTATTCTAGCTTTTAGACAGGCCAATTTATTCATTCTTCCTGGGTCACATTTTGACCTTGTCAATTATTCGCTTATCAACCTTGATTGTTTTTATATGAGAGTAAGCGTATGCACTTCTTAATCTATTCATCACATACATGTCTTTGATTTATTTCTGCCTGGCTATAAATATCAAGTAACACTTGACTAAACCGAGTTGGCTCACATGCTACAACCCGCCCTTTCGTTTCACTTCGCTCTCTTGTCTTCGCTTTGTTTGTCTGGATCAACGATTGTATGAAATACACGTATTCGAAATTCAGTTTCGTACTTAACTTGTTTCATTCCGTTAATCGCTAACGCGATTTAAGTCGATAATTACATATAAGGATAGACGACATGTATATTTCAATAACAATCAATAACATTCATAGGATCAAATGGGAGTCGGATATCGAGCCACAAAAATGCTGAGTAACACTAAAAACGTCCAATTTGAAACTTGTAAACTGAATGTAGCTCGACTCTAGTGTTGGTGTTCTCACTGAAGGTCGAACACATTACCGACCTCACCAAACACAAACGCGTTATGTATTGAGTTACGGGGTTCAGATAAGCACCAGGTTGTGCAATGGGTATGGAATTTCATCTATAAGTGTTTGTATTTCCCAGACGCTGACCTTAACGACTGAGACTGGTCACTTTCTACTGATATGTATGTATCATTAGAGGATTGTCTCAAAATTGCCATAAAGTCAAAAGTTTGTGTAACAGTTTACGAGTAGTAAACAGTGGAATTTAGGACGCAGGTTTCCTCCTGTTATAGACTTGTCAGTCACACGTCTAACTTGTAAGTCAAATAATTTAGATATTTTCATACTGAAAACTTAATGCAAACAATGAAACCAATATATTCAAAGATGAAAACAAAGGTCTTAGTATCCGAAACAATAAAATTATAGTCACTTCAGTAAAATGACTACAAATTTACCTTGTAAACTCATTTGGTTTATTATCATGACCCATTATCTTCAAATAGAACTCGGCCCGGTTAGCTCAGTGGTAACGTCTCCGATTGTGAAGCTGAGTGACAGGGGATCGAATTCGTGAGGTGTGCCCGCCCTCTCGAACTGATTTCACAAGGCCACGCGTATACAGCCTCTGCCAAAGAAGTCCTACTCACTGCCTTCTCGTGGCTGGGGTGTTGTTGACGAAAATGAGAGGATGAAAAGCGAATGTCCAGCGCTTTAACCGGATTCCAAACCAATGGTGCACAGGGGCTCCAGTATCCTGCGGGAACAAATGGCGTATGAACTAATCGTTGGTCACTGGCTACCATGAGACAGCATCTCCTCACGATGCTGCACTGCCTTGTGGGTTAGACCTTTAGGTATAAGGCTTGGGGTGTGGTCTCCTGAGAAAACCACCTGCTTCGGTCTGGGCACTCGGGCAGTATCACAGCCCACACACAAATATAATGAAATGTCGATATTTATGGAAAATACTTGTCTTGCTTAATAATCAAACGATTCACATTATTATTATTATTACTACTATTATTGTTATTATTATTTTCACGTCATTTATTCACTCTCTTTTATGCCCACTTTATGTATCCTTATTTTTCGACTTATACAGCAGCTCGCCTATGGTGGAAACTCGGTTCTATCTAAACGTTCTCGCGAAACGTCCCGCTTATAAGCACTGGGTTTCTCCAGGTTCCTTACAACTCATTGAAGCCCGTCGGTCTATTCCGGGTGACCATGAGTTTGAACATAAACGAAGGATGTTACGTAAGGAAATAGGGCAAAGCTTGCGTAAGGACCGAGAAGCCTGGTGGTCGATGCGTGCTAATGAGCTGGAAGCAGCAGCTGCATCTGGTAACTACCGGAGGCTCTTCCAACTCATCCGAGCCACTGGCAGCAAGAAGTCTGGTGTGAGTGAAACAATCTGCTAGGATGATGGGATGCCAATCACTAACATCCATCGACGTCTTGGACGTCGAGGCAGAATTTTTCGAAGGGCAGTTCAACTGGCCTGCTGCTCCGGCAACATCGGTCAGACTGTCCTGCCCTCCATGGCCGGTGACGACTGATCCACCAAACGAGGAGGAAGTCCGCAAGGAACTCCAACTCTTGAAGCGTCACAAATCACCTGGCCCAGATGACCTACCTCCGGCTCTTTTTAAAGATGGTGGTGACTTTCTGACTAAGGAATTGACGACGTTGTTTACAAAGGTCTGGGAACTAGAGAGTGTACCAACGTCATGGAATGAGTCGATAGTTGTCCCTATCTTTAAAAAGGGTTCACGTCGTTCCTATAACAACTATCGGGGGATAAGTCTACTTCTGATTGCGTCCAAACTTTTGGCTTCCGTCATGCTGCGTAGACTGTTCAAAACCCGAGAAAGATTGACTCGCGAGGAGCAGGCTGAGTTTCGTTCTGGTCGAGGATGTATTGATCATATCTTCACCCTCCGCCAAATGTTAGAACACCGCCATACTTTTCAAAGGCCAACAATCGTAGTGTTGCTTGACATCAGGGCTGCCTTCGATTCGTTGGATAGGACTGTTCTCTGGGATTGTCTATTGAAGAAGGGTGTGCCTGAGAAGTTTATTAACATCATAAAAGCCCTATATACAAATACCTCAGGCAGAGTGAGGGCATACAACCACCTCTCTCCATTGTTCCATTCGAGCAGTGGGGTTAGGCAGGGTTGCCCAATCTCACCATTCCTCTTCAACTTTGCCATCGATGACATTCTGGAAACAGCTCTGATAAATGTAAGTAATGGTGGTGTGGATCTGTTGCCTGGAGAAAGACTTCTCGACCTTGAGTATGCGGACGATATTGTCTTACTGTGCGACAATGCCCAAGGCATGCAATCCGCACTTAATCAGTTGGCAATCAGTATCCATAGGTATGGTATGTGCTTTGCACCTTCGAAGTGCAAAGTACTTCTACAAGACTGGCAGGATTTCAATCCTGTACTCACCCTGGATGGTGAGTAGATAGTAGTCGAGAAGTTCGTGTATCTAGGTAGCTGCATAAGTGCTGGTGGGGGTGTGAGTGATGAGATCAATGCACGTATAGTGAAAGCCAGAGACGCCTATGCCAATCCGGGCCATCTTTCGAGCCTTCGTGATGTTAGTCTGGATGTAAAAGGTCGGATCTACAACGCGTCGGTGAGAGCAGTTTTGCTCTATGCTTGTGAAACCTGGTCTCTCCGAGTTGAGGACGTTAGACGACTCCGTGTTCGATCATCGCTGTCTCCGAAGGATTGCTGACATTCAGTGGCAACACCATGTCAGTAACGCAGAGGTTCAGCATCGTGTGTTCGGGTACAGAGATGATAATGCAATCGATGTCACCATCTTGAAACTCCGACTTCGATGGCTTGGACATGTTCTACGAATGTCGTCCCAGAGAATTCCACGTCGTGCATTATTTGCCGACTCTGGGACTGGTTGGAAGAAGCGGAGAGGTGGTCAGTGCATGACATGGTGTTGTGGCATGAAAGAAAGCTGCAAAGGACTGGCTTGTGTTGGTCCTTTACGACTCCCTGGCTGGGGTCCGAGAGATGGTGCTACACAGTGGCTAGAGACGTTATGAGATATGGCTCAGATTAGAAGCCAATGGCGATCCTGCTGTAACCTTCTTTTACTTTCTTCATAAAAAGTGGTTGTGTCTCCCTTACCTGAAAGATTTCTTCCGGTTTCACCTTTCCTTTTCTCTCATGATTACTATTATTATTATTTTTATTACTATTACACTACCTTACACTAATCTGTTCGTTATTGTTACGCTCATTAACTTCTTTTTTTCTCTTCGAATTCTCATTGTTTTGTGTGGCGCATATATATTTGGTGCCCTCTTGTACCAATATTTGTGTGTTCAAATAAATAAATAAATAAATCACTTTATCAATCAAACTGGCTAATCAGATAATTCAGTGGATGACAAGTTTCATTCCTTCTTGTTAGGTATGTTATTCTATATTATTCATTTTATTCTTTAAACAGCTTATCTATTTTACGGGTGTAGTTTTAAAATGATTTTTCTGATTGATACTCATTTTTAAATGTAGCTGAATGATAGCCTCTAATCTATAGTATATGTTGAGATTGTACTGTGATACGCTTATTTGAAGAACCCAATTTTTCATTACGTGTACATTCAACAAATTTATGGCATACCCTGATTCGATGATTTTAACGTCTTTTTGTTTACATCATTTTATTTTGTACAATTAAAGTGTCGTGTTTCAAATAAATTACATCCTTTTATTTTGATATTTTAGGGTTAGATTAGAATTTTCAAAATGTCTTCTTTAATGTTAAAATTTGGGCATCACATTTTACCGTGTTTATTGAGTGATAAAAAAGTATATTCCTTTAACTAAATAGACAATTATGAATTTCATATTATACTTACCTCCATTGTGAACTTTTGATAATTCGTAAGAATTGTGTTTGCCAGTTGATCTCCATTTACCATTGATTGCTGAACTACTTTCTCCTTGAATTAGACCAGAACTTGTTGTAACGGAAGTTGGTTGATTAATATTTAATGAATTGCCCATAGAATTTGATCTTACCACTGAAGATAATGATCCCACGGTAGATACAGTATTTGTAAAATTATTTGGTGGATAATTTATCATACCAGAACTTGAAACAATAGCTGTTCTCGTAGAGGAATTATGTGATGTTGGTTTATTATTGGTTATTCGATTCGTATCAAATGCAGTTGGATTATTTGAGTTTGGTGGAAGTGTAGAATTAGTATTTTTAGGACATCTGTTTGTAGTATTATCGTTACCATTTTGTAGTGTTATTGTTTTGACAGATACACTTTTATTTGGTACATTAGATGGATTTCTAGAATACTAAAGTGTTGTAGTACAAATAAAACCATAACATAATATTTGCACGATAAATTACTAAAGTTGAAAATAATTTACACGAAAAGATTGAATTTTTTCGAATAACTGGTGAAAATCAGAGTAAGCTAAATAAATGTTTTATTTGACTATTGAGCTACTCATCATCGTGCACTCGCAGCTCTACAAGCGTTCGAGTTCACGATCTGCAGATCATTCGGAAGGAGCCTTATTTTCAGGTCACTGGGTTGATATCCAAAAGTTTACATTATCAGCTTCAGTCAATAGAGGGTAATTCGCGATCATCATCCATTGCTGTTGATGATACTCGTTTCATTCCAAAAACGGTCAACCTCTAATTACAACTTTAGAAATTTTTCTAAAGATAGTCACTAGTTAACACCAGATAATTACCATAGAAGTAGGATATGCACGTGTAATGCTCAGTCTGAGCATAACTTTCATCAGATACCCAAAAAAAGCGTAAAAGTATTGGATTTGATTCTCGATGTTATCGAGGGTTAGTCCTACTGTGAACTCCCTCTCTCGAAAGCAAAATATCTCTCCAGTGCTCTATGATTTTCAGTGGTTGTTTAACCCAAATCAGTCTATGAATTAAGCAAAACATACGTTAACACTTCTTAATTAATAATACTTTAGGCAAGTGGAAATTGATAATTTATTTACAGCAATTCTTTGGGAACTTCAACATTTATAAAATAGAAATAATCATCGCTAGAAAACATAAAATATGTAGCCAGGTCGTTGATTTCGTACTTATGTTTCCAAGTTTTATTTCTCTATCTGTTACAATAATTGAAAGTAGATATTTCCAAGAAGTTACATTTATTAATTAAAAACAGAATAAATGTCTTTTTATAGGCTTATATAAGATAATCAAATGAACACTTGATGTAATTATAAAATATACCCACTGATTCTTTTTACATGAACAAATCAATACCCCAAGTTTTATACTAACATAGTAAACTATTAATCACAGATTAGTAAGAATTCCATAAACACCAAACGAATATATATCAGTTATATCTAAAATTATTATTGTAATTCAATACAACAGTATCATTTAACTGGTTCATATGAAATATAATTCCTATTAAGATGTGAATTCTGTGATGTTTTAAGATTCTTTGGATTTCTTCTGTTGTGCCATGACGGTATGGTAGAACTACAGTACCAATCCATGGCATTTCATTCGAATAATTATTATAATGTAATAAACTGTTTTGTTTTAATATGCTTCTAATAATGTTCATAGGAAAATTATTAAATTGTAAGATGCTAACTATATTCATTTGTTCTTTTTGTTTGTCTTCCTCTGATGTGATGATCTTGTTAGCTCTTCTAAAAGGATTTAAGGCTAACAAGATCTTTGCACTGAAAGGATGTGCTGAATGGAAGTCAATATAACGATTTGAATGTGTCGGTTTTCGGTAAATGGATAGGTTTAGACTTCCATTTGGATTTCTTTTTACTAAGCAATCGAAGAATGGTAGCTCACCATGTACATTTTCATCCGTGAATTTGATGTGCGATGAAAGTGTATTTATTCGTTTTGAAAAAGATCTTAGATGAGTCATTTTTATAACAACAAATGTATCGTCTACATATCTAAGCCAAATTCGTGGTATAATGTTGTGGGCGAAGATATTTGATTCTATGTATGTCATAAAAAGGTTGGCTACACTCGGGGACACGGGGGATCCCATCGCTACACCGTTAGTTTGTTTGAATAACATATCGTTAAAAGTAAATAGCGTTGAATTTAAGCAAAGTTTTAAGGATTTCATGATTAGACTGATGCTCAACGGACATCTGTCAGGAAGAGTATTGCCGTTCTCAAGTAAACCACTAATGAATTCTAAGCATTTATCAATGGGAACACTTGTGTATAAAGAAACGACATCAAAGCTTACCATGTTTTCATTCTTCTCGATGATTAATCAGGATAATTTTGATTTAAAGTCATGTGTCTTTAATTATATTATGTAAGTTGAGTTGCAGTGGTTTTAATATGTTGCTTAAATATTTTGATAATGCATATTTTGGGATGTTTGTCAAGTCTACTATCGGTCTTAAAGGAATATCTGGTTTATGAATTTTTGGTAAGCTATAAAACCGTGAGACATTACATGATTTGGGATGCAACGCAAACCAAAGCGAGACCCCAATGATTGGTTTTAGCTCGTTCAGAAGTTGATTTGTTTCTAATTTGACTTTATTCTTAATCGTTAGAGAAGTTTTTGGGTTGGTCTTTTCATAAGGTCCTGTTGAGAGATGTTCAAGAGCTTTATAATCTGTTTTATTCACAAAGAAACCTCCTAACAATCCTGTAGAATTGAACCAACTTCAAATTAAATCGGCAATAGCAGTTCATGCCATTTTCAACAACCACCAAATCGATTTTAAAAATATCAAAATATTGCAAAAAGGCTTTTCCAACTACAAAGAAAGGAGGGTAGCTGAGGCGTTCCATATAATGCTTAATCCTACTTTCAATAGAAAGGAAGGTCTTACTATACATCCTACTTGGACCATCTATCCTAGCCATTCAGTCTGATCTTCTTTACAATTTCACACTATCATATTACAAATTTAAACTCTATCCTTTCTTACCATAAAGGTCACACAAGTTTTCATTCTTAAACAATGCACACATACATACACACACAAATTTACATACATATCACTTATGAATCACCTTGACAGAAATGACATGACATCAACTTGTTCAGACCTGTGTTTTTTTATTGATCAAATATTATTCTTGCATTGTTCCGTTGTACTACTTAAACTTGGATTAATTTTAATTTGGTTATTTATTCTCTGAAGAAGTGACTTACACCAAGTCACGAAACGTCAGAAAATCCAATTTTCTACTCATTGGGATATTACAAATATATTATTTTTATTTATAACAATCAACCCAATGCTCAATTTATTCGAAATGATCATAGGGTCTTTTTTTAATGAGTTTGTAGGTGTCATTACCAAGGTTTGATTTGATAATTTCGAATAAATTGAGCATTGGGTTGATTGTTATAAATAAAAATAATATATTTGTAATATCCCAATGAGTAGAAAATCTAATTTTCTACTCATTGGGATATTACAAATATATTATTTTTATTCATAGGGTCTTTGTTTGTTTTTTTTGTTTTAAAAAAATAATAAATAATTGTATTGAAATTTTTCGTTTGCCGATAAGTAATTCCAAGCAGTACTATGTGTAATTAAATTAATTCGTTGTTAATAGAAAGCGATGATCATTATCTAATTGTTTAAATTAACAAAATGCTTTCCAATTGTATATAATGGTAAAATAAAGGTCATTTGTACTGGTTTAATTGCAATTGAATTGACAGAAATCAGATACATTCCCTGTTTACAAAAACGTTAAATTGGATTAACTGCATTCAGAGTAATGGTAGATTATAAAACAGAATAGGAATAATGTTAGGTGATAATTTCAACAGAATATTCCAAGCGAAATGAAAATATAAAGAATACTTTCTGGCGTTTATTTGGTTGTTTAAATGAAAAGTATGGATAATAATTGAAAGAAAGATTGATCTAAAAAGAAAGTTAGAATTTGTTCATTGGAAATTTTCTCAATTTCAAGTATTCTGAATCATTAGCATATCACTATTAAATAAGCATTGAAATAATTTAACTCAGAATTCATTATCAGTGTAAGGGATTTGTGGAAATCGTTGGATGATACAGTGATTACGAACCGATCAAAATTAGATAACCATTGAAAACCAGAAGGTGATGAACAACCGTTTCATCCTAGTACATAGCTCTTTAATATTGAGGAATTATGGATGTGCATTTCTGAGCAGTTTCATTCTTGGAAGAATCAGTCAACCAAAACAACGTGGAAACTGGCACAAATATACTTCAGCTCAAATTATTAAATCATAATACCACATCAAAATTATGTTAGGAAGATGAGTTGCAAAAAAAGGGTCATAGTGTTTATAATTGTAAAAGAAGAAATAAAAAGGAGAATGTCTGTGCCATTACAACAAAGTTTGAGCTAAAATACTCAACGTTTTCAGTCACTGATCATATATATCTCACCATGAAGTCTAGATCCCCCTTTACAGTTCACTTCCATGTTCAACGACATCGTAAACTGATATTATGTAGAACATTCAGCAAACATATACTCTTATGTAACATAACGAATCGGATATCTTTATAGTAAGTTTAAGTCCAGTCATCTTTGTTTTTATTTATGTCTTTACAGTAACTAATAATAATGTACCCTGAAGTAAAAGTTGAATTTTTAAAAATCAATTTTAATAGTGACTAACAAACCAACAGTGATAAACAGAATACTCAAATTTGTCGCAACGACCAATGTTTACTTTCTGTCGTCTGAAAATGGAATTTTACACCTCCTGTTATATACATTTTATTATTACTACTACTAATACTATTGTTTACATTTATGAAATGCATTTGAAAAAAACACGGACCATTCAAATACACATTAATTTCCTTGAAACTAAAAGCCTGCACACACACAAACACTTGTAAATATAGATAAACAAGAAGTGGGATACGCCCAATGGTTTCTTTATCACTATTTTTCACATAATTATTTTAAATATTACATTCTGTTGGAAAAAAGTTACCAATAACAGACAAGTGTAAACGCCTTCTTTAACATGGATTGTAAGGACTTCAAAGTTTTTCTATGTTTTCTATCCATTTATCATTGTTTACATGGCTTCTTTCAATCCAGTTCTCTTTCTCTCTTTCTCTCTCTTTTTGTATATATGAACATTTAAGAGCTAAATATTCTTTTTTCATGTTAAGTCGACGTTTACAGGGTTAAACAAGGTATTATTCTTACTTCGTTAAAAAGCATTTTAAAAAATATTGCTTAATCATAAATATATCTTTTTCTTATATTCCAATAAGTAGAAAATTTGTATTTCTGACATTTTGTGACTTAAGGTAAGCCACTTCAGAGCAAAGATTTAGTTACTCTAACGAAGTGGCTTACATTAAGTCACGAAATATCAGAAATACAATTTTTCTACTTATTGGGATATAACAAAAAATATATTTGTTATTAACTTTTTACCAATGCTCAATTTATTTGAAACTATCAAGTCCAACCATGACATTCATACTTACCAACGTACTGCTTAGTTTTATTAGTGTTTAAGTGGAAAATAACGATTAGATATTTTCTCCTGTAAACACGAATTGCATGATAATAGTAAAGTATAATGTTTGAACCAACCTATACCCTACATAAATAACTTTTTTATATTGTGCTACATTCATATACAAGTACATTTGTTGATTATATATACATGTTTTACAGTGTATTACTGATTTGAAATTAGTAGGATTTATGCATTCTCGTTAGTGAAATGCATCTATATATATCTTCAGCGTATTTAAACTCATTTTCAGAAGGGGTTTTGTGAAGATTTTAGAAATTTCACTGACTGAAATCATGAGTCAATTGAAGCTAGACAACCATGGAAAACCTGGAAGCCCTGGACGGTGAGGAATCAACTCACTGAAGACAATGGTATACTGTGGCGCAACTTCGTGGGTTGGTTGAAGTTAGACGTTAACACCACTGGATGGCGGCTAAGTGGTCTAGTTGGTTAGGCGCCTGGAGCGAGACTGGTAGGTCCTGAGCTCGAATCTCGCGGGGTGCGGGATCGTGGATGCGCACTGCTGAGGAGTCCCGTACTAGGACGAAATGGCCGTCCAGTGCTCATTTTATTGGCTTTAAAAATCGCAAAGTTAGATTGTTACGTATTTTGAAATGAAGATTAAGATTGTTTAGTCACTAACTGTAACATAATTTTTGATCATATCAACCACTAAACCAATCAGAGAAATAAGAAAACAGAACTGTACAGATACATAGCTATCAATGAGAAGCGTAGGCTTGATAGATTTAAATAAATTAACATTGGGTAGAAAGTTAATAAATATTTCTTTTCTAATTCAGTAATTTATTTAATCTGTAGAAGTGGTTTACATTAAATAGCGAAATGTCAGAAATACAATTTTATACTCATTGGGATATAATAAAAAATATATTTACAGATGCATATTCTACTGGTTTGGAAAAAAACAAAATAATCTTGCAAATGCTGCAATGCGTGAAACATTGTAAAACTTAGAATATATCAAGCAATGAACTACATTCGGCCACAATTGTATCTTATATGTAATTACAAATTTAAAGTATTTAGGTTATAAATATTTTAACATTAAGATATTTCTTAATTTCATGCTATAATCTCGAATGAATTTCAAAAATGTCATTACGGTTATACTGTTAGTGAAATAGATCATACAAATGTCAAGAGTGGATCAAGAAGTTTTTTCATTATTCTTTGTTTATAATCACTTATCACTGGGATCAGGTCTGTTAGTTCAGGAACCAAGATGCACAATGTAATGCCTAAATACTTTTAGATGAGATATTTTTGAGGTCTATGAAAAAGAAGCGCAATAAATATTAAGGATAAAAACATATCCTTTCAGTTGAAAGTCAAACATTTACCAACTAGATGAATAAAGTTTACCGAAAATAAAAATGATCAGAAGTAGATAAAACTGATTGGAGAAAGGTTTAAACTGGCAAAACACTACCCTAGAAAGTAAAGTAAAAAGATTAGACAACTCATACATTTTTCCATTTTCTTTGACTTAATTGATAACCTATGTAAGTTAGTTAGAATTGCATCGGAATACACATTTTCATTTGTTTGTATTTGTTTTGTAGAACTAAATGTTTGATATCTCCGTCAATTTTATCTTTTATCTTTTACCCTTGGCCGTACCAGGGTATTTGGAGGCCATTTTCGATGGTAAATTAGTCATTTATTTCTGCTGTTTTCTGAATGGCTAAAACTTATCGAGATCTTAATGTTGTTCTCCAGTATTCATCAGGCTAAATATGAATCTTTAAATTAGGAAAAAACATCTACATAAATTCCTTGTTTGTTTTAAATTATTTACGGCATTGTTTGATAAAGTTTTGGTAACTAAAATTAACAATAAGCTCACAAACAGTCACTTTTTGTTGTTTACAAGGAAAAAACAACACAGTAGTCTTAGTGAAGCCCATTCTTTCTGTAAATATGAAACTTGTGTTGTTAAGGCAAGTAATCAATATGAATTACTTTTCAGAACTAGTAAGACTACATAGAACAATAAGAACCTTTCATTACAGTTAATTTAAAAATGACTTCATACATACCTGTAATTTACTTTCATCCAATTCTTTATTTGTTCCATTAATAGGTGAAACGAAATTGTCCGGAAATATACCAATTAAATTTGTACGCATATTTCTACCTCTCCACCAACCATCATCAGGTAGATTACGATCTAATACTTGAATAATATCATCTACGTGTAATTCTAACTCATCTGCCTGTTTCGGCATATATTCATAACGTGCTCGAACTTGGTTTGTTAGATAATTCGATGAAGTATCATCAAGAACTATGAGGCGAAAATGAAAATGAATGGAGAGAGTTCGTTATCATTTACCCTTTTGAGAAAAAGAAGACATTAAGAAATAATACATTGAATTCTAGGTGAATATAGTTAATTTGTGAAACCTATATTTAACTATAATAAAAACTATCCAAAACAAGAGTGTACAACAACTTGATATTGAACAGAAATAGTATCACTAAACTGTTATTTCTTGATAAAATTTTAAAATCAATACTAGCGTTGGATGTGAATGATTTACATTCCTTGAGATATATATGTGAATAGTACTTCGGGTTGGTTAGAGTTTCCAGAACCATCTTATGTATTCACCAAACATGTAACCATAGACCTAAGGAATTCGCTTTTCATGTTTTATTGAAACTAACGGAATACATCAAAGAAAACGATAAACTTATTTTATTTGCCAAGATTTACCGCTATATCTTCACGTAATCGGGAAACAGAAATTCCTTAATAATGAACTAATATAATTTTCTTTTGATCATTGGTTCCGCAATTTTTCTCAAGGATTCTCTCGAAGTTTGTATATTTACGTAAATAGTCGTAATTTAACATTAGTACTGCATGTTTACAACTTATATTAAGTATATTTATTAAAATTGTATAAAATGATATAATAATGAAATATTTTTTGACGATTCTGTGTTCAAGTGTTAGAAGACTGATTTTATTCGCTCTATAAAATATTACATCTTATTTACCTTAATTTTTTCGAAGCGCAGAAAGGATTGTAAAAAGTGTTAGTTTTTTTCGATTTTTAATAAAAAGCTAAGTGTCACTTTTATTGATCACAAATGTTTTGTTTAGCAGTATTTAAGGGTGCATCCTGTATCCTACGAATGTAACTGTAATCAATACTAATTGAATTGACGGAGGAAAGAATAATAATTTAAACTACTTAAATTATTTCGTGGTAAGAATAAACGGACATTCATCAGTACTGAAATATTAGATCATATTACTAAACATTATTCTATAACTTAGTTTACTGATTTCAGCACAAGCTCACGTCATCTCAATAACTAGATTTTGTCAATATAGATGTATTTATTATGTACTTATACAAGTAGCCAAAAAGTGATGTCTTGCTGGGTTATGATTTATTGTCAAAAGATCTGAAACCATTTCGACATAATTTATGCCTCATAAAATAAATCTACAGTAATAGAGAAACGGGGTGTTCTGCTTTATGTTTATTCTGTTTCATGAAAAGTAATAATGTCTAAACTAGTATTAGGTATTTAATTCTAGGTTGTTAGATCATTAAAAGAGGGCAGTTTACAAGTTTACAACGCATATTATCACATTTTAAGCCAAACATGCATTAAATACAGTCATTTAAACGTACTTTTACTGTTTCCGATATCCCTTTCAAGTACTGATTCATTCTATAAATGAATAAACAGTAATTATGAAGAAAATTCAAGTATGCTAAACGAGAACTAGTTGGTATTTATTAAAAGTATCATTTTAAAATATCATTCAATATATATATATATATATATATATATATATATATATATATATATATATATATATATATATATATATATAATGTTTCAGATAATGCTTAACGAAGACACATGTTTCGTCCTACATGAAACACACTAGTCAAGTGTACAAACATCTCAATGTTGAAGTTCATATTGAAATTTCAGCCTAGTATTTATCACGAGTTCTGTTTGACGTAGTAATCACTTAACAAATTTATATCATACAAACTGATATCCGAATAAAACATGGTTATTTGTCACAGAGCTATCCTAACTTACTTTAATAGTTTTTACAAATTCGAATAGAGAACACCGAATTTATGATGGATAATAAATAATTATTAGGTGAGCAACTGATTTAATTAATTAACAGGTAAATTGACACTATAATTGTATCCCAACTTATAATTCTGAAATAAACCTTAACCTGGTGTTAATACATTTTGTGGACGAACTAATCGGACAGCATCCTCTGGATTTTTGAGCGACATTTACTCATTCATATTGGCTAAAGAGCATTTTTACAATATAGCTGTAGTCAGTTTTTCTTATGACAACTCTAACCCTCAACTTTTAATCCTAATCTTAACTGGGGACAGTGTAGGGTTGCTTAAAAGTCCGCTTGGGTCCTTGTAAGCGTTTCAAGAACATGGACAATCTGTATCCATAAAGATATATTTCTAGGTCGTTGTTTCGCCGTTTTACAGGAAGCATAACTTGTAGATGACTTTAATAGATTTATTGATTATGCCAAATCAAATCATTCTTTTTAATATTATTATTTTCTTTTTCTATAAATTATCCATTTATAAAAGCTGTTTTCTAGTTGGATGGGACCTGGCTATTAATTTTTCTCAGTTCTTTCAAGGTTATCCTTAAATAAGAGTGTACTTTAATCAATTCACAACAATATAAAAAATATATAGATATATTATCTTTACAGTTGGTTTTTACTTTTAATTTAGAAGGAGCAGGTAATCTATACACATAAATGCGTGCGTACATATAACTGTGACATACCTACTATTTACACAAATAAACTACAAATAACTCCGCCTGTAGCTCTTATAGGGTTGCTGCCGGTCCCAAGCCCGGGTAAAGGAAGAGGGTTGGGCATGGGGTTAGCGTCCCCATCCCGTAGAAAACTAACTCGCTAAAAAAACGCTTACCAGAAAAAATAATCCAAACCATTTTAACTCTGCCCTGGGAGTTAGAAGGTCTTCATTTAGAAGAATTATGACTCTTCATGGTGAAAGCCGAGTTCCTTCGGAAGCCGCGAGGCCGATGCCCCTTCTAACAACCAGAGCAAAAATTTTTATAGGTACATGGAACGTCCGGACAATGTGGGAAACCGGGAAGACCAGTCAAATAGCAATGGAAATGAGGAGATACAACTTAGCAGTACTGGGAATCAGCGAAACCCGCTGGACCCAAGCTGGACAGAAAAGGCTAAATACGGGAGAGATGCTGCTATACTCCGGTCACGAAGAGGACAATGCTCCACACACTCAGGGAGTCGCTCTTATGCTGTCCAAAGTAGCACGAAATGCACTGTAGGATGGAAATCTCACGGATCCAGAATCATCAAAGCATCATTCAAAACAAAGAAGGAGGGGATCTTAATGAATATTATCCAATGTTATGCACCCACCAATGATAGCAACGACGACATTAAAGATCAATTCTACGAGCGGCTGCAGTCAGTGATAGAGAAATGCCCAAGAAAGGACCTCACCATTCTGATGAGAGATCTAGATGCCAAAGTCGGAATAGACAACACTGGATATGAAGATATCATGAGACGACATGGACTGGGCAAAAACGAAAATGGAGAAAGATTCGCAAATCTGTGTGCATTCAACAAATTGGTCACAGGAGGCACAATATTTCCACACAAACGTATACACAAAGCTACATGTATCTCACCGGACCACACAAGAGAGAACCAGATAGACCATATCTGCATCAATAAAAAACTCCGAAGGACAATGGAAGATGTGAGAACCAGGAGAGGAGCTGATGTAGCTTCAGATCACCACCTAGTGGTGACCATTTTAAATCTGAAGCTAAAGAGAAACTGGACAACTGGACAAATAGCAATACAAAGGTTCAATATAGCCTTCATTTGAGATACTAACAAAATCAAAGAATTCAAGATAGCTCTCAACAACAGGTTCCAAGCCTTACAAGATCTACTGAAGGAAGAAGGAACTACTGTGGAGGACAACTGGAAAAGTATAAAGAAGCGTTAACTTTAACGTGTCAAGAGGTTCTCGGTCTAAAGAAATACCATCATAAGGAATGGATCTCTACAGAAACAGTGGACAAGATCAAAGAAAGGAAGAACAAATTTTAATTAACCTGATATTGTTTAATTCATGGACAAGCAATAGTAGTTTTTGGTATTAAAGAGTTAATTAGTTGAATGATTATTTACATGAATCATGGCTTGGAAAGCATGAAAATGTTTACACATTATGATCAAAGCGAGAAAGGTAATTTCCATAGGCATAAAGAATTCATTAATTTGTGCTCCCCTGAATGCACTGGGTTTCTCCAGGTTCCTTACAACTCATTGAAGCCCGTCGGTCTACTCCGGGTGACCATGAGTTTGAACATAAACGAAGGATGTTACGTAAGGAAATAGGGCAAAGCTTGCGTAAGGACCGAGAAGCCTGGTGGTCGATGCGTGCTAATGAGCTGGAAGCAGCAGCTGCATCTGGTAACTACCGGAGGCTCTTCCAACTCATCCGAGCCACTGGCAGCAAGAAGTCTGGTGTGAGTGAAACAATCTGCTAGGATGATAGGATGCCAATCACTAACATCCATCGACGTCTTGGACGTGGGCAGAATTTTTCGAAGGGGAGTTCAACTGGCCTGCTGCTCCGGCAACATCGGTCAGACTGTCCTGCCCTCCATGGCCGGTGACGACTGATCCACCAAACGAGGAGGAAGTCCGCAAGGAACTCCAACTCTTGAAGCGTCACAAATCACCTGGCCCAGATGACCTACCTCCGGCTCTTTTTAAAGATGGTGGTGACTTTCTGACTAAGGAATTGACGACGTTGTTTACAAAGGTCTGGGAACTAGAGAGTGTACCAACGTCATGGAATGAGTCGATAGTTGTCCCTATCTTTAAAAAGGGTTCACGTCATTCCTATAACAACTATCGGGGGATAAGTCTACTTCTGATTGCGTCCAAACTTTTGGCTTCCGTCATGCTGCGTAGACTGTTCAAAACCCGAGAAAGATTGACTCGCGAGGAGCAGGCTGAGTTTCGTTCTGGTCGAGGATGTATTGATCATATCTTCACCCTCCGCCAAATGTTAGAACACCGCCATACTTTTCAAAGGCCAACAATCGTAGTGTTGCTTGACATCAGGGCTGCCTTCGATTCGTTGGATAGGACTGTTCTCTGGGATTGTCTATTGAAGAAGGGTGTGCCTGAGAAGTTTATTAACATCATAAAAGCCCTATATACAAATACCTCAGGCAGAGTGAGGGCATACAACCACCTCTCTCCATTGTTCCATTCGAGCAGTGGGGTTAGGCAGGGTTGCCCAATCTCACCATTCCTCTTCAACTTTGCCATCGATGACATTCTGGAAACAGCTCTGATAAATGTAAGTAATGGTGGTGTGGATCTGTTGCCTGGAGAAAGACTTCTCGACCTTGAGTATGCGGACGATATTGTCTTACTGTGCGACAATGCCCAAGGCATGCAATCCGCACTTAATCAGTTGGCAATCAGTATCCATAGGTATGGTATGTGCTTTGCACCTTCGAAGTGCAAAGTACTTCTACAAGACTGGCAGGATTTCAATCCTGTACTCACCCTGGATGGTGAGTAGATAGTAGTCGAGAAGTTCGTGTATCTAGGTAGCTGCATAAGTGCTGGTGGGGGTGTGAGTGATGAGATCAATGCACGTATAGTGAAAGCCAGAGACGCCTATGCCAATCCGGGCCATCTTTCGAGCCTTCGTGATGTTAGTCTGGATGTAAAAGGTCGGATCTACAACGCGTCGGTGAGAGCAGTTTTGCTCTATGCTTGTGAAACCTGGTCTCTCCGAGTTGAGGACGTTAGACGACTCCGTGTTCGATCATCGCTGTCTCCGAAGGATTGCTGACATTCAGTGGCAACACCATGTCAGTAACGCAGAGGTTCAGCATCGTGTGTTCGGGTACAGAGATGATAATGCAATCGATGTCACCATCTTGAAACTCCGACTTCGATGGCTTGGACATGTTCTACGAATGTCGTCCCAGAGAATTCCACGTCGTGCATTATTTGCCGACTCTGGGACTGGTTGGAAGAAGCGGAGAGGTGGTCAGTGCATGACATGGTGTTGTGGCATGAAAGAAAGCTGCAAAGGACTGGCTTGTGTTGGTCCTTTACGACTCCCTGGCTGGGGTCCGAGAGATGGTGCTACACAGTGGCTAGAGACGTTATGAGATATGGCTCAGATTAGAAGCCAATGGCGATCCTGCTGTAACCTTCTTTTACTTTCTTCATAAAAAGTGGTTGTGTCTCCTTTACCTGAAAGATTTCTTCTGACTGTACCTTTTCGTTCCGTCGTTACTACCACACTACCTTACTGCAATCTCTTCGTCATTGTTCTCTTTTTCTTTTGCGTTCCTTAGTTTTTTTTTTCTTTCTTTCTACTTCTCTTCGAATTCTTATTGTTTTGTGTGGCGCATAAATATTGGCGCGCTCTTGTACCAATATTTATGTGTTCAAATAAATAAATAAATACACATTATGATCAACCAGTTAACATTTCTGTACATTATATGTAAACCGCACCACAGAATAAATATTTTTTTAAATTGACCCATTACAGTAGTTCTCTGATGTGACTAAAAAATTAATTTAAATAGTGTTTTTAAATGAACACTAGATAATTTACTCAGTCAGTTAGATTACATCTAGTGAAGAGATTAGTAATTAAAAAACACTGATAGTCAGGATCTAGAATAACATAGAGAATGAATCCAGCTTTACTACACTGACTAACTATGAACACTGATGTTAAATATACCCAACTTTAGAAAAATATAATCATATGATTCCTTTACCTTTTTTTCACCCTCAGATTTATAGTTTTTATACAGAGTAGTGAAAATTCTACAAAAAAACATTTAAGTAAATGGTGACAATATTTTTAATTTTAAGACTTAACCTCAAGAAGCATACTAAATGAAATATTTCATTATTTTTTTAACACGAATAGACAACATTTGCATAAGTTATGTAAGTACACGAGATTTTTCTATGCATTGAATGTATATATTTTGTCCATCGCAAATATGATATGTTGAATACGAAACTCTACCATTATTCTTCTAGGTAGATTAGTATTCTGTTCAGACTTTTAGATACCTATATTTCAACCAGTAAAATATTGCAATGAATTATCTTATTTTAGATTGCTTTTATTTAAGTAACTACGTATATCAACGGCGTAACGTACTCACACGTGTTCTAGAAAGCGTACAGACTATTTACAAGCTAAATACTACGAAACTTAAAAGCGGGAAAACTGAAGCGGTCGGCTTGTGTTTTGGTTTAAGTGTGATTACAATGCAAGATGTAATCGTGTAATAATCCATGCTTGTAAAAATATGTATGCTTTACAGTGTATTATTGACATGAAGGTGGGACTTACTGAAAACATTTGCCGAAAAAAGATAAATGTAAGTTAATCACAATTGCTAAAACTCTTCAAAAGCAAATTATTTTGTGGTACGTATTGCTTATTGTCATTGGACTGAATAAACCAGTTCCTGTTCATATATCTTATCATTTTAAAAGGAATAACGTACATAATTTAATTGATTCACAGTATAAACATACACGTTTTGTAAAACAATATGGTAACAGAATTAAGAAGTGAGATAACTAAACCGCGGACGTAAAATCAGTAAATAAATTCAGTTGTGACACTCAACAATCAATTTAGACCACACCTATATTTTCGCTAACTATATGATATACTATACAACATATCAGTATTAGTATGATATTTGTACGTTATATACTCTGATTCATATGATCACAATTGAAAATGTAGATGTTTGTCACTAGTTCTTGTTTGAATGTTTATTTTTAGTATGAAACCTAAAAAGCAATCAATCATACTTTTAATTGTATCAATGTGAATAAGATACAAATTAAAAAATGCTGGTTTTAAATTTTTTAGTGGAAAATGATTATTGATACTGTAGAACCCGTATTAATCTTCATGCTAAATTAATTAAACTTATTCATGATAACGGTTTTAAGTGTTTACCGATAACTAATAACTTGTTTGAATTTGCATAGAAGCAAGGCGTGGTCTTCATTTTAATAATCTATACTCAGATAAAATTTCTTCAGAATGGATTTCTGACTAACAAAAGGATTCTCAACAATCAATTATAATGGAATCTTTGAAGAGATAATATAAGGCATAGTTATTACATCCTGTTAAACGTCAATCAGCTTAAAAAATACTCTTTAAGAATCACATTTCCATTTTCGGCTAAATAAAGAAAATTATTGTTTGTGGCTAACAACTATCAGTTAGTCATAATCAACATTATAACCTGGCGTAATTATACACCTGCCCAAGTTTCCACATGGCATCAGAACAGTGAGATTAAATTAATAAGATGAATAGAAAATGAGTCGACTGACATAAATAAAGATAGGAAAGTTCATATCAACATCTGTGATAATTATTCAAATTAATACAGCTAACAGATTACAATGAATGATGGCCGATTGAAGTCAAGAAATGCAAACTACTAAATTTCACCCAGTATTTGATCTCAAAATTTGGGAATTTGTACTTTTGGGTGCACTTTCTTACAGCTGAATACTGGGCTGGAACTATTTAGTACACAGAGATTTGTATATGATTTAATTATAGGATATTTTATCGTGAACAATTTAATAACAAATGGTAAACTATTACTATTTATCAACTAAAACGTTTTGGCACAAAAAACCAACCTTCAGATAGTACTTATTCCTTATTGGAAATGATAGCTAAGAATAAACCTGAAATACGGTTTGACTACCGTGTACTTAAAGCGATAAGAATCTTTTTTATATAAACAAAACTACAGTTGAATGAATAAGTCAATGGATAGAACTGAATGGAGAAAAATGTTATTGAGTGAATTTTAAAAATAAATTTTGACGTGAAAATGTTGATGACTAGTTATCTTTTTATTTTGAATTAGATTTCTTAGCAAAAATGGTCAGCTCGCGCGCGAGACTGATAGGTCCTGGATTCGGATCTCACTGGGGGCGGGATCGTAGATGCGCACTACTGAGGAGTCCCATACTAGGACAAAATGGCCGTACAGTGCTTCTATGTTTTCCACGGTGGTCTAGCTTCAACTGACTCATGATTTCAACTTGTGAAATAAGTTAAGTGTTTATGTACAATCAGTTCTAGCCCGAATCAGAAATTTAGATAATATTCCAATTTATTTTATTGAATATTTAGTCGTTTGGTGAAGTTTAATCGTTAAACTGTAAGAAGTGAATAAAATATTGGTCATATTCATTGAATTTCTCAATTATCTTTTTGGCCAGAACGTACGAGGGAAACTGATTTAAGATGAACTCAAAGTACTCATTGATGATGAAATCTGTCTGTTATTAAAACTAGAAATTAGGTATCAAGATAAATTGTTTATACATGTATACATATATATACTTTTTCAGTATGACACAAAACTCGTGAATCGTTGGTGGATAATAAAAAACAGAACCTAAAATGAAATGTTAACAATTTAATCGACTTGATGATAAAAAGCAAAGACTGAGTTAGCTAAATTAACAATTCATTGACTGAAGTGAATTTTAAATCCTAACAAGACAAGTTTTGCAAAACAGAATAATAGGACTTTATACGTATTACGAAACTAGATTCGTTGCCTATAGACAAAGGTTTCAACTATAACTGCATGACTAAACTTTACTTATGAACAATCTTCACAAACCCTTTGATTACTGGTAATTATCTTCGAGAGATGATTCTCGAAGTTCCAGTGAAAAGCCATGACGAGCTTAGTTAAAACATGTTGAGTGTGATGGAAATGTCGTTATTACTAAAGGATGATAGTCGCTCAATTTCACGAACTTATCAAATTTGGATAGCAATACACTGGTTCAGAGGTAGCGTTCTCGCCGTAAGACCCGAAGGCTTTATGTATGATCCCCAATGGATGAGAAAACACATAATGAGACAAAGCAGCTGTCTGGCGTTTCTTATTTATCAATAGTTTTCTAATTATGATTAGTTAGTAGTGTAAACTATGATGTTCAACAATATCAACAAACCTCTTACACTAAAAACGAGAAATAATTTTTCATTGAAGAATGTAATGATCATAATATGATCAGTAACGATCCATCTTTTCATTTGTATAAAGTTGTAAGTTCTATAGTTTACACTTATCCTTTTTAAGTAATACATACACACGTAAATATATATTAGGTAAGACAAGGAGTTTAAATGTATTACTAAAAGAAATAAGTAGTTTAAATGTACTTGAAAAGCTTATTTAATTGAATTTACAAACATTTAAAAGAATCGTGTAATGTATGAATTAATAATAACAATCATATTTGTCATATATTAATTTGTAAATAAAAATGAAACTAGCATATATTGAGTGAGTGCTCATATTAATGCTGATTACATTAGTTTAGAAATGAATCTTTGAAACCTAAATATTAATTAATAATAGTTGACAATAAAGAAACTGCTAAAATCACATGAAAAATTAAACTTTGTTAGGTTAATTATTCCAAGAAAAGAAATAATTCATTGTATAATGTGATATACTAATGAATAATTTGTCAAAATGTAAATTGATGAAACAAATTAAATGTAATAAATATACAATGCAGCATACATTCTCACATTGCATTCATCTGTCTATAAATTGTAAATGATAATGCGTACAACTATTTGTATTCTTTGATAAACTTTACTCTGAACACGTGACTAGTCATACTAATTATATTACCCATATACACAAACACGTTATTACATGCTGACAGTTGAGTGATCTAATACCGATTAGAAAACAATGCGATTAAAATAAGACGAATTCATGTGAAAACAAATGAACAAGACACAATAAGAAAGAAAATAATAAGATGTAAATTCTCATGAACAAGGAAATGATACATACTTTTCATCCTATGAATTGATCATAAGCTTTATTAAAGAAACAATTAACAGTCAGATTTACACATTTTGATGATCTAATCAAGCTCAATTTCTTGGAGTACTCATTCCTGTAGTTCCTATAATGTCAAACAAGTTGACTGGTATACAAGACAATAATTAAAGAAACTTATGGTCCCAGAGCGAAGTTGTACTACCAAATGCATTAGGGTTTGATGTCGGTAAGCCAGAATCTTTAACTAGACAAACTTCCCACAGCAGATGGAGTGCATTAGAAAAGGTAGAAATTATAAGTAGTATAGCTCACCTTACCCCATGGATTTCTGTTTCCGGTAGTAAGATCATAAAAGGTAATATATGATGAGCTCCAAGCCATTAGCACTTATGCTTCCAGGTCATCAAAATCACGCCTGTATATATCTGTAACAGCACTCACATTCAAACTCGATCTTCCTATCATTAGGTGAACTACCATTAGCATAATATAAGTATCTCTTTCTTTAGATTAAGAGATCAATTTCATCCCACAACCAAACAACGATAAACATTCCAATATCATGTTAATCAACTACGATCATTGCAGAGTTGAAATACAAGGCATTCTGTTACAACATAGTAAAAACAATAGCATTACTTACTTCCTTATTGACCACTTCTTTTAAAGCGGTTTGTTTTAATTGAATAGGTTGACCACTGAAGATATTGCCTAAACCAATGCCACAGACAGGTTTGGGTTTTGTTGCAGAACTTGACTGACTATTAGTAGTAGTATTAGTAGTAGTATTAATATTACTATTTTCGTAATCACTATTCGACATATTATTATTATCATTATTGTTTGTCTCTTTTGACCCAATCTCAGGAACTGCAATAGTCTGTAAAATAAAATACATTAATTTACAACAAAAGTCGTGAATTATTTAAGGAGAATCTCCTTTTATTATTTAACAACTAGAAGTGTTTGTAATATATTGTCGAATAAACACTAAAAAATCTCTTTTTAATTAAGAAAAAGGAATATTTCTCTTCCAATTCCATGGTGGTCTTCAGTCAGTATTAACAGACTTTTACCTGTCAAGGGGCATAGTCCGATAAGATAGTAAAAATGCTAGTCATAATCAGTAGAAAGTGTAAATATATTAGAAATATGCGACTAAGACATATATGTAAATCTGTTAGATAGATAAATATTGATCCATTCGAACATATGTTCTCATACGTTGACACTATTATTAATGTATCATTAATGAAAAAACGTGAGGTTTCTCAACAAATACAACCATGATATTACGCATTTCTAGATGGTTAATGCATAAATTACGCACTTATAGCTTCTGTACACCTATTGAATGTTTAGTATAAAAGTAAGTAGGATTTAAAATTAAAATTATTACAAAAAAAACCGATAGAAATTTTACATTAGATCAAGTTTCAGATGTTTAGCAGTTAGAATCCACGACACAGGGTAGATCTATTCCGTCATGTAGTGTAGAGCCCTGATGAAAAACTAATCGTAGCGAAAGATTTTTCCACTTTATTAGTATTTCTTCTTGATGTCAAAATGGAATTCTTTGTTTATTTTACTTAACCAAGCCACTGATCAATGAAATGAAACTGAACGATTGAATCATCTCATCATGTTATCACTGATCTTTTGCTCATTTAATGAGTTAAAAGCCTATTATATAATTAATAACTGATGGATATACGATCGTAAGTGATTTTTAACAAAATTTGTTTAAAAATTTGCACCTTTTTTAATTCATAAATTGAAGACGCTGGCAAGATCCAGAGTCTTCTAGACACGTTAAGAAACAATGTAAGCATGTTTGGAATGAGGTTCTCTCCCTCCAAATGCAAAGTGCTGCTTCAGAATTGGGATTCATCAGCGCTTGAATTAATGATAGAGTGAAGTAATTGAACGTATCGACCACTTCACTTATCCTGAGAATTTCATCAGTCCCGACGGTTTGGTGTCTGGTGAAAACTCAGCACGAATTGAGACAGCTCGACTGGTTTTCGCCAACACGCGTTACGTTTGGTGTAGGTGAGATATCTGTCAAGGGACGGGTTTACTTCTCGGCAGTTCGCTCCGTGCTACTTTATAGGTGTGAAATGTGGCCATAAAGAATGAAGGATACTCATACGTTACTAGTATTCTATCGCAGGTGTCTTCGAAGCATTGCTCGTGTATGTTATGACCACAGAGTGAACAATGTCTGGGTCAGGAAAATGATACTGCGTAAAGATAGCAAATCGATTAATGAGGTAGTAAATCTCCATCAAATGAGGTGATTAGAACATGTAATACGTATGTTCAACCTCCGTCCATGAAGCGACTGATGTTTCGACTGAGCTATATTAACAGGTGTATACTATCTGGTTGGAGTTCATGTGATTATCATAACTATTGGTTAGGAACTTTTAAGTATAGGGTTCAAAATCGCCTGCAGTGGCGTAGTGCATCCATCCTTTGTCTTCTTCCAAATTCCAAGCTTCTGAAATCCTTGTAATCTGTTGATATCATTAATTTATATTTTCTTGAATCTTATTTTTTATCACTGATGTTGTTACTATCTAGTCTGGGATTTACCCTAACGATTTCAACTCTCTTTGTTAATTGAGTATGGAAACTTTAACCGATGTACATACGTCCCAGTTTCTGTGTTGTGACTGACTAACTGAGTCATTTTTAATGAAATTAGTCATTTATAAAAAAATTCAATACTACAGCCAAAAGACTGTTTCACTTAGAGACTGTTTACTATTGGCATTAAACACATTGCTTTTATTTTCCAAACGGATTAAGGTACTGGCATTAACACTGTTAGTATCATTATTTCTTCTCAATGAGCTACTAATTTAAAGTACAAATAACTAGTATAATGTGTGATGTCTAAAAGCATTAAGATTGCTATCATTGTTGAGTACTTTTTCGGTCCATAAATAAATCGCTATCTGCTCTGAAGATTATTTATGCTAAATTGTCGAAATCGATTGTCAATTAATGAATTCGCATTTTTTACGATGACAATCAAACATAAGCAAACTCTAATCTATGTAACTAATAGATATGATTACACATGTTCAAAAAGTTCACTATCTAAAACTAATTATGTTGTAAGTGTTATAAGAAAGTCATAAAAAATGAGAGTACATTTTAACTACCATTAATAAGCACATATATCATCGATAGGTTTCATAACCAGTCAATAAAATTTCATTAGTATGCAAGATATAATGATCAAACTTAGAAAAGAACATGCTTCTTAAACTGTGAAAAAGTTTACATAAAGGTGTCATGATCAGATAAATGAGTAGAGAATTTAAAGTAAAATCTATTCCATGATTAAAGTTGAACAAGAGAAAATTCAAGTAAGTTCATGTATTTTTTGCCGAATACAATGTTTTTTTTCTTGTTTTAGATCACTTGATAAAAGAAACTATTCACGTTAAAAACTAAATTGTCATATAACCATAAATGGAATTCATACTTAGATAAGTTCTATAATTGTTTATTAGCGACCAATGTGTTTCTGACAACTACTATAACCCTAAGTTATATTAAATGATTTAGTGTCTCGAAAAACCGTGTAGGATGATGAAAGACGAATAACAGATAGTCTTAGATCTACATTTTGTGATCATGATGCACACTAAAAACATCGATTCCTAATCTGTAGAAAATTTGAGTTCCTTTTTACATGTATACATCTGTAATTCCAGTCAGTCAAACACATCTGAGAACCTAGTACAAGTATACACCAGTCCAAGTTGGTATACTCTATTAACACAAAGAAATCAAATTGTTAAGTTGAATTCCAGAGTAGTAGAAATAGTGAGAGGATTAATAGTAATAATTCAGTGATACTTCCATGATTATCACATCTAGAGCTTCTGAACTGTAGTTGATCTGTGTAAGGATAGATTATATATAAGAATCAGTCTTCATGCATATCTTAATGTGAATAAAGACTAAACATATATATAAACCGTGCACAGTATAAATTGTTGTTCAGCTTGAGAACGCTTTCAATGAATGGTTAGACATGCCAAGTTTCATGGTCAAAAATCATTTTTATTGGCTCAGCTGTAAACATCTTTTGCTTTTCTCAGTCTTTAGCTTAGCAGCAATAAATAAATTTTATTCTTCGATTTTATTCGTTCCTTCTAAACTGCATTTCTTACATGTAGCTTTCAACTATGACTAATACTATTTCAGCTTCACTGCTTCTCCGTTTGTTAATTTTCTCTTGAACCATACTGATGTAGGATGTCCTATCTTTTGACCAAAACATGTAATACACTATGTACGATCTAATATGATACAACATTATGATAAAAATTAATTAATTTCGAAGTTCAGCCTATGATGATTAAAATTCATTACTATCTGTTGGATCCTTTCTCAATACTCACAAGTTAGCAGCCAAAAGCGAAGATTAATAAAAGATGTCTGAGGTCAACAAAAACGCATTCTTCGATAACAAAGACATTGCGGAAAGGTTATGAGAAGACAGTTTTTATGAAATAATGGGTTGAAGGTTCAGTTATATTAGTTTCCGTATATGACACAATAATAGTGCGTTTACGCCGATTCTGAACAACCTAGATTCAATCTCTAGAAGTAAATAATCAGTAGGTTCTTTATCGATTTGTTAGAATACTGTACCATTGTTCATGACTCTAATTTTGAGTATTTTTCCAGTAAACATTTTTATTGCACAAAGGAAAACTAGTAAATAAATTTTTGACAAATTATTCAGACATTTCTTTTGGCATTAAAATGTAATAGCTAAAAGCTCATTACAATCACTGTAACATTGTTGGCATACTTTCTAAATAAATACATGGTTAATGACTCATTTATTAATGAATATTAAAAGTAGATGTTGGAGACACTATCATAGAACGTTACGTTACTATTTTTAATCATAATCGATTAGATTAATCACATGTTCACGGTCTCGATTATGTAGACAAATTGATCATTATTCAAAAATCACGAAAACAAATTCATACTTTATGTTTGAAAATGAATTTTACAGACAAATAGATGGAGTAGCAATGGAATCACCCTTAGGCCTGATCCTTGCTAATATTTTTCCAGTCAAACTGGAAAATGGACCGTTAAACAACATTCTAAACAAACTAGATTATTACTGTCAATACAGGGATGACACACTTATCATGTGTGACGAAAGTATTGACAAACAAGAGCTGTTGAACAGTTTCGATAGCTTTCACCCAGCTATTAAATTCAACCCCGAGGAGAACGACAATAGTATAGCTTTCTGTGATGTCCTACATTCTGGGAGGATAGACAGTCCCATAAAAGGAAATGTATTTAGAAAGAATAGATGGACAGGTTATTATACCCATTTCCATAAGTTTACACCTCTTCACTACAAAATAGATTTGGTTAAATGTCTCAGAGACAGAATCAACCTTATGTCCTGAAAATAGAGTAGATAGCTAAATCGACCAACTTATGAGCACATTGTGAAATAACTTCTTCAAAAAATTCTATTAGAAGGTACTAAAAAAGAAGGCGTTACATCGTCAGTAAAAAATCCTGACTCCGAAACTGGATTTTAAATGAGACATAGTGGGTGCTGTTTTAAAACATCGACGTTTTAGGTCTCCAAGTTACATACAATTTTCTGAACCAAACCAGTACTTACACAAAAAATTAAGGATAGGTTACCGATGATGAGCTCCTTCATGTGGGTATACCGAATCAACTGCTCCTGTAGAGCCAGTTACATAGGCCGTACTCAGATGGCCTTATCCTTGAGTGTTCGTGAACATGTACAAGCATGGTTGGGAAGAGGAATCACTAAATCAATTAACAGTACCATTTTTTCTCACTTAGTAGGTAGTGAACATCATACGAAGATAGATGAGGTTTTATGTCAATTTCCAAAGAATCTACCTAAAGGAGCTAGATTACGGCCCCTCTACATATCCAGCCTCTATATTTACCTTGGCCCATGACTGGATCACCGGATACCTAAACTGGATATTATAAACCGCTTATCGCCCCTCCCAATTCCATTCGTGTTTACATCTTAGTCTTCACACTCACCTTTCCCAGTTCACATGAATTCTTTTTTATCGTAATTACTTTGATAACACTCCTCTTATTACACACAACGAAATTATCATTACCTCAATTGATAAGACGAAATTCTCCTACGATGCATTTTACTCACATGGTTTGTTGGTTTTGTTATATTACCATTATTTTGATTATGACTTGACACTTTGCTACAAATCATTCTGACAGCTATCAAATGACCTGTCTAATTTACAAATAACACAACTTTGGGATATTTATGTCGTAACAGATGCAAACGTTCACCATTCTTAACATATAACATTGTCAATTTCATTATTTTATGCCTTGTTTTGGCCTTTGTAAAATATTATGATTATGGGCTGAAAATAGTTGAGCCTGATGATGAAGTTATTGAAAACAATTGTTCGATCGAATATTCTGTTTTTGATTATTCTATCAGGATTTTTAAACTGCTTAAATCTATTTTGATTAAATTTGGTAACCAAAGATGGTCTAATGAATAGAACTTCATTTTATGTATGTGAACGTACTTATTACACCTGTCTACTGAAATGTCCAAGATATTTTTCCAAAGTGTGGAAAAAACAAGTAGTCGTAACAAGTTCATAGGATTTCAAATCAATGATGTGAGTAAATTAACGCACAAAACATGATTGCCATTTTGTCCAATACTACACAGAAAACAAATATATCAATTTGAACAACTTTTAAAGTCATGGTTGATAACCGAAAACAGAAATAATTCAAACGGGAATAATAATAACACATTAATTACAATGAAGAAACAATGAGCAGTCTTTAATATATTGAAACAACGAACGATTTGATCTATAGAACAAAATTACAGTTATCAGTCTTTTTTTAATACACACTAATTTCTTGATAAATTTAAATCATTTTAATAGGTAAATTCATAAGTCGATCTAAGCTAGACCACCACTGAAAACTTGGGAGCATTGAACCGCCGTTTCGTTCTAGTATGGGACTCTGCGGTAGTATGCATCCACAATCCCGCACTTGGGACTCGAACCCATGAAATTCGGTCTCGCGCGCGAAGGCTCGACCTCTAGACCACTGAACCGGTCTCCAACTGTGTTAATGCCTATCGATGAAGAGTTGCGCAAGGTCGTAGATCGACCGAAGTTAGATGTTGTGGATTGCGGATGCCCACTGCTGGGTCCTATAATAGGACGAAACGACCATTCAGTGCTTCCAAGTTTTCAATAGTGGTCTATCTTAGATCGACTCATGAATTCAACTATTAGAATTACTACAATCTACACAACTCCCCATCCTCAAAATTTAATTAATGCAAGAAGAATAAGATTTGGTGAAAGATATGAATTCACTATATTTCAAGGTTTCTCATTAACTACAAACGGCCCAAATTTGCATTAGTAATATCACTATAAAAATGTTTTTATTACATACCATAATCAATGAAGTTTATTTCAAAACGATATGAGAAACAGAGGAAACAACATACCTAATATAACAGTTAAGATTGATTAGCATTTATTTGTTGAGATGATAAAAACAGATTGTTAATAAATGAGTTATATTCAAGGCACCTAGTTGATATAAAATTAAAGCCAACGTTGTGAGTGAACGTTATTGAGATTTCTTACTTTAAGTTATAAATCACGAAGAAGAGATAACCTAACTGACAAGAGTTGAAATAATATAATTATTTTACCATGACAATGAGAGGCTTACCAAAATCTCTTCCAGTATACTAAGGTCAGGTTGAAAGGGCTTGGCGGTATTGGTTTCTGCAAAGCAGAGTAAAAGTGGTGTACACTGACTGCTGATTATTTGTAACGCATCTTGGAAACTGACGTTGTGTCCACTATCCATCAAATGTTTGATGACCGCCCTTGTAATCATTATCATTCAGACACAACACACAATAGGTCCAGAAAACTTTGTGGGCGACCTTCTTTCAGTCTTGCTTATGTACTTGCTTCCACAAGTATGTGTTAATTCGTAAATATAATTGGATGTGATATCAATAGG